AAAAAATGTCAAAAGAAGAAGATGTTGATGAAGACGAAAAGACTGTCATCAAAGAGGAAACAGAAACTGAAGAAGAACTCCATGTTAAAATTGCCGAATGCATTGGATCCATCTTCAAGACTCACAAGGATTAAGTCTAACCATTATATGAAGTCATTTGCAATCAAATCCTACCCAAAGTCTTAGACCCAACCTAATCTCCAAAAATGCACCAATTTGGTATTTTCCTCATTGATGACATGGTTGAATATTTGGGATACCCATATGTCTAAGGCAAACTCCACGATTTCGCTTAAGCTTTGACTGTCTATGCTGTTGACAAGGTCTGCTTCGTGAGATAAGCTGCCGTCTATGGAATTGGTATCATGGCCCTCAACACTCCAGAGGTATATTAACTGTTTCTAACTTTTTTAGTAATTGTACATCAATGTTGCTCCCATTCTATCTAAAGCCCTTGTTGATTCCTTAAAGGTCGACAAGAACCAAGACGACACAGAGAAATAACATGGACATGCCAGAGACAATTCGATTGCTGCCTTAGGAAAAATCATCAAATACTAATCAAAATCTTTAGGAGGTGATCTTGCCTAAGGACTCCAAACTTGGTTACATTTGTTACCTCTCAAATATGATAAACCAGAAGCTCGTCTTCAACACGAATAATTGGCAGACTTTGTCATCGCAGATTGCAATCAATTGATAAATGGAAAACCAGAAAATGCTTTACAAGTATTATTTTACATTTATATTCTTTTTAGATTCTCAAAGTATTTGCTAACACTTACAAGACAAAGAGATCTAGTGAAGCTATTGATACAAAGATTTCAAGTGCATTGAAGGTATTTGAACAAACCCAAGGACAAAATGTTTAAGCTATCTTTGGAATGTTAAGTCAAGAAGAGTAGAAGAAGCTCTTGGAAGTATCAAAATGATCAGTATTGTGTATTCTAACTCATAAATTAAAAAATTTATCAAAAATTTCTAAATCGTGGATTATCCTGTTCTCCTCATGAATCCGGATATCCTCAGCTGTCAATTACAGATCCTCCAACTGTTCTTCTAATTTCCGATAGTTCTATGTTTATATTAAAACAATTAGAATTTACCTTCATTATTTCATTTTCTTTTATCAAAATTTGTCTTCTCTTCATATCAACTCCATCACTTGCATTTCTATTGGCCAAAACACTCTCCAATTGCATTTTTACCTTTGGATTGCATATGTGACAGAAAGGCTACTATAAACAACTCTGATGGGTTGAGTGAGGACACTTTCTAATCAAGATGTGCTAATGTTATTCAATCGTAATCAATTCATCACAATTACTACAGACATTCTAAATTTCTGGACTACTAGCCTAGAAAAGTAACATATTATACATTTTGATGAAATACTTGTTACTTAAATCCAAGGTACGTTTGCAATTCAATAAAATAACTCTTATACTAGATTCTATACTTTACTCTCTAATCATAAATCAAATTCTTAAAACTCCATTTAATCCACACCAATCTGAAGATCTCTATTTGTTCTTCCATCAAATCAATCAGTTCTTCAATACTCAAAAAATTGTAAAATTCACACAGTCTTGCATTGATCACTTATAAAATTGGTATCATATTTTGATAATTGCGCTTATTGATTTGTTCCGATAAAACCCAAATCTGAGAATGAGTCTCTTAATTGAAAAGTTGATGGCCTAATTCTAAGAATGTGTTCTGATCATTATGAGATAGATTGTCTTTGCATGTCTAAAATAGCAAATCAAATTTCAAGTTCAAAATCTCCTTTGAAAAAGACTATAACGTAAAGCATTCATGTAAGTAATCAAGCAAGTTTTATAAGAAAAATTTCATAGCCATATCAAATTTACCAACTCTTGCATATATGTAACCCAATCCTTCCTTGTGTTTAGTTTCTAAAAATATAGTCTCCAAATCATCCAAAGCAAAATTATGAATTTTATCTAGGACCTGATGAGGTGTGTGAATACAACACGCTGTGATTAATAAAGTTCGCAAATCCTTATTAGAAGGCCCTAATGATTGAAATAACTCCATGTATCCATTAGTAATTAACTCTCTCTTCATCAATTTGTATTGTTCCTGGGTGGTTAAGGTAGGGACTATTTATTTTAGGATCTGCAAAGTTTAACTATTTCCCAATAGAGTATCAAAATAAAAATCCAAGGCTCTTAAGGTTTGTTCTCTCTTTTAATTGAGTTGCCTTACGATCCAGAGCGTGAAAAACTTTTTATTTATTTTCACCAAGCACAGATCAATCTACTTATAGATATCAGGGGCGAAAAGTGACTTTATGTAATTATCATTTGACAATTCAAACAGCTCATTTCTTAAAAGAGGTTTCAAATCGAATTATTCCAAAATATTTAGTATTAATTAGAAATTCTTACTATCACATACAAGATGTTTTAGCGATATTATGTATATTTCTTCATAAAGCACTAGACCCTTTATTGAACCTATAAATTTACTAAATTCAATCCCCAAAGTTTGATGGGCGACAATTGATTATGATAAACTATAATAAATTTTATTAATGAAAGCCACTAGAATAGGTTTTTGTTGATTGAAATACTTTTATAATTATAGAGAATTGAATAATGAGGTATAGTTAATAGCAATTTTTAGAATTTCGAAAAGTTCTTTTGGGAAATGAATACCAAAATTCGTCAAAATGTCTTCAATTAGCAACCACATAATCACTTATTCGAAAGCATGTTAAAATCTATCTTATGGAATCCTTTCATTTGGAAACAAAATCTATTGAAATGTCAATTTAATAAACCATAACGATTTCAATAACATGATTTAATTCTAGCTTTTCAAAAAGTTGGAGTACATCTTTTATAATGGAGTAATATAATCATGATCAATACGAGGACAGACAACCATTAATGGTGTATATAGATCATTCTCCTGACAAATTTAAAAAACTGTACTCATATCCAAGCATTTCGGATCCAATGACAATATCAATTATTCTACAATTTCTGATTTATTTATCACTTTATAATGTGTAGATATTTGTAGTAGTAAATCATTTGGAATTTATTTAATTTACTTAGTTAGAATAAACTCTTCTAAGGATGCCAATAATTAAGAATATCGATGAAACTTAATTAAAAGTGACTTCATGCCAGTAAAGATATATTACTGTTAATTGCAATGAATACAATATTAAATAGCCTAACATATAGTTTAAGACCATTATTCGTATTTTAACTATTCTGAAACCTTTTGCTACTCAATACTTTATCCAACCAGATTAATAAATGTTCTGCAGATGTCTTTTGAAATGTCAGAAAAAACAACCCTTTAATCATAGGTAGTTTGAGGGAGTGCAAAACAATGGATCTAATTCCAATATAATGTGATTCCAAAAGATAAAATATCATACCAATTTTATTTAGTTTCTGCTTTATCTATCATCACTTTCAAATAATCTGACCACAATAGCAGTTTAATCCTTTTCACTAATGGGAGAGCCAGAATGTAAATGAATCTAGCATTAGAAGTGATGCAATTCATATAGACAGAGACCATTTATTAGCCATTGTTAATTTGTAATGGAAAATTGATTATATCTCCCAGTGGGGTGATTGATTAAATTGCTTTTTCTGTTTTATTGGATAAATAGTTCATTTATTTTCGTAATGTATTTCTAGATTCTTCAGTAATGATATCTTTATTAAAGAATTAAGTATTTAAAGTAACAATTTAAAATTCTTTAGTAAGAACTACTATCATATCCCTAGATAACCAATTACAAGAAATAATGGTATTTAAAATAAAAGAATATTTTTAAATCAATTGTTGTTTTTCAACAATGTAAATTTCAATATGCGTTCCCCAAGATACTGCTAATGCAACCTCAACCATTTCAGTGTATTCTTCAGTGTTGGTAAATTATCCCCAACTTGTGCAAGGATATGTTTAGCCATCAATCTATCTTTTGATTCGTTTTATAATTTATTATTACTAATCCACTTTCAAAACTATGACTTACTCTAAACATGAGAAGGCAATATAATCCTATTTCCAAGTAGAAATTTGATAAAATGGATGGATCTGTCTATATGAATGTTAATATTGGTTACCTTGGCAACAGTTTTTCTATTTCAATCTAATGTGACCATAACATCTTGGTTATCTTACATATAGAAGTTTAACCCAAGTAATCAGAAATGATGCATTAATTGTCATTGAAAAACTTCAATGATAACAAAGGCTATGAATGTTTAATTTGTTTTAATAGACTCTTAGTGTTTGGATCCCATAAGATGATTGCGCAATCTTCATAGCCAGCCACTAAAAATGATTGAGTGTTATCAATTGCACTGACTTTAGAATTGTATTTCAAAACTGCGCTTAGTTAATATAAATACCAATGAAGTCATCATTAGATGCAGAATAAACTAAAATTTCACCAGTTGATGTTCCTATTGTTAATAGATTGAATTAGAAAGCAACGAGACAGGGCTGACCAGATAATTTCTTCAATTGATTAGAAATTAATTGTAAATCTTGGATCTCGATATTCTAGATTTCGATATTATTGTTGATTAATTCTACATTCTCCAAGGTTGTTTCTTTGATGATTCTCTCTTGTTTATCAATTTAATCAATTAATGATTGAGGTTCTATTTCATCTTCATTAGATGAGGATACCTCAACTTTATTCTCTTCTGCGAATTATTATTCGAACTCCTACTCAATATACTTTATTATTAATTCTTCATATTCTTTTTTTTCACATTTTGTTGTCACTTTTTATTTTAGTTTTTTCTCGCTCAAAATTTAATTAGCCTTGGATTTTGAAACATAATCTTACTTTCTCAATGTTCAAATCTTTTATAGAATTGTCACTTTCATTTAGGATATCATCGATCTCTAGATTGGATGCATCATTCATATCATTTTCATCTTCTGCCAATAAATCCTCCAAATTAAACATTAAATTCATATAAATATAAAAATCAAAGTTTCTGAAATATTTATTACCAAAATACTCGAGAACAAGGTCTGCCCTTCTCTCCAAGATTGATAGTGTTAGCACGAGATCGTACAATTTCCTCTGTCTTCAATATTTTCTCAGTGCTGTTAATACTTTTTATGGTAGATAGCATTTTAGCTTTAGTAGGTGCTGATATAGATCGAGTTCTATTTTCTGGCTTTTCATCAGGAGCAGCCACTCTCTTGAGTTTTTTAACAGAAAACAAAGGAGCTTCTGGCGTTAAATTAATGAATTCAAAATTTTGTTTCTTTTGTATTCTTTTGTTTTATTGCACTATGAAGTCTTCTCGACTAATCTTGGTTTAGGAAGATGAATCTCTCTCAGGGGAAATCTCTTGCAATTCCAATCTTCTTCGTTTTAGCTGGATGATCTTCTTCAAGATTAATTAATCCTTTTGATTCTGGGTTTCAAGGCTCTGATGCAAGTAATCTTGTTTTTTCAAGTCTATGTAAATTGCTTCGGGGATCAAGAGGACCTTACTGTAATGAACATTGCTTTTGGCAGTTGTTTGATAAGGTTTTTCGAGCAACGCTTCGATTTCCTAAAATTTAAATGATTTTCATACTCCAACCAAAGAGCCAGCAGACTTTATTAACAATGTTCTATTCTTTGCCATACATGTCGACGCCAACATCTTATTCTTAGGTATCCTTTTTTCTATGTGTGTTTCTTCCAATCTTACTTCACCCTCTACAATGTAATACACATGAGTCGGCTTTTGATTCTAACTAAAGAGCATTTAATTCAAATGATAAGTGGTTAAAATTACTTTATCCAAGTGGAGTTTTATCCATTTTCTATTAAATTAGTCAAATATTAATCACATTCGAGCATCTGGAAATAACTAACACAAGAGTTGCTATTTTTGAAGGTGTTCATAAGATTCCAATTTGTTTTTTAAGATTTGTATGGCTCCTTAGTGATTTCTCTGCAGTCTCATTATAAAATTAAATATTATATAACTAATATATCTTTGAATTTCTGACTTCAGATCAGAAACCTGTATTAAATATATGTTTGGTTCACTCAGGCCTCACAACATTAATCCCCATCCACAACTATTGCCATAATTATTTAATCCAACACTTTTTAATTTTGTTCACGTTTACTTAGTTTCATTTTTTATTTTATCCAAATTTCAAATTGTAGTAGATTATTAAACAGAATCAGATTTAATTAGCTATTGAGTAAGGTTTCCCTTTCATTTGATTGCCTTTTGGCTATTCTACCATAATAGACAAGATCTCAGGGCAAGTAAGAATTATAATACAGTATTCATTTACTACCCAATTCTTTCTATTAGCCAAGAACTTTAAAATAATTAATGGCCATGTATTTCCATTGAAATAAATAGGTGTACAATAACCAGTTCAACTGAAATTAATATATTTTGATATACTTATAAAGATAAATACTAGTCTCAATTTTTTAGATCGAATTCTCGTAAATGAAATTGATTAATGAAGATCAAAATATGATACTGAGTAAATGAGATCAATTTTAGGTAATCATGTGTTTAAAAGAAATCGAATAATTATGGAACTTCTATAGATTTAACGGATAAAGTAGCATATTAACAGTATTTCTTAATATCTAATCTGCTCTCTCTCTATATCCACACAATTAATAAGTTAAAAACATTCTTGCATGAGTTGACAAAATTACGTCTATTTTCATTTACAAAATAATTAATAATATGTTTCTCACAAATAGTATTTCTGTTATTTTGAATGAATATAGCTTAGTTAGTCTCTCCGTTATTGAGTTCGTAGATATCATATTCATATTATAATCAACAAGGAAACCACATAATTAACAAGTATAAATCTCATTCATATTCTCCCTAGGCTGACTAAGGATTCTTAGGCGATAGGGGAGATATTAACTAATAATTTCCAATCTCAATGATTTCACTCATAATAATTTTGATATTTGTTATGTGTTGTATAATTTAACGTCTGAACTGGAAAAACATAAGAATATTAATGAGTATCATAATTTTATTATTGATAATAATAATTATAATTTATATAAAATGGGAGGTGGTTCTAGCAAGGAGGATGAAAATCAAGTGAATCTCGATAAGTATTTATAAAGTGCAGAATATCAATAAAAACTAAATGCAGTCTATTCAGGATATAATACTCAATAATAGGCTTTGCATGTTCCATAACATTAGGATGATGATGATGATTACATTAACAATGGTTATCAAGGGATATAAATAAAAACAAAGCCAAATATTGCAGCCATTTAGTCAACCACTCTTAGTGCTCAATAAAATGATGTCTATATAATTAAGTCATCATTTAAATTTGTAATCATAATTATGAATACTAGATTTAAATTGGAGAGACAACCTATTAATTAACATTCTTATATACATGTCCAGAACAAACCTAGATAGATGTGTGGTTTTTGGGTCAAGAGAAGTTGAAAACAGGGGAAATTACTTCTCTTTATGGAAACACCTAATTATAAAAACAAATATAAGGCTTCTATGTTCAAAAGGGATAAAACCAGGATTTTTCATAAAACATAGTGATTCTTGACTTGAAATTAATAAAAATAGAATCTATGAAACAATATCAGATGAAATAAGATGAATTTTCATTTCCTTTGATAGTGAAAATTGTAAGTGATTGATATGTAAATTTAGTCAAAAGTCAATGTTGATCATTCCTTTACTTATTATTGCACCGTGGAAAGGAGTCAAAATCAGTTAGTTGCGTAATGTTTGGGGAGCAAATTAAGAGTAATAATAATAAATTCTATCATGTTAGATCAATGGTTAAGAGTTCTTGACTAAGGATGTTTATGGGATGAATGATAGTGTCTTGGGAAAGAAGGACGACAAGTAGATACATTGAATTATATTATTGCTAGTGAAAAGGAGCCTTGCAGAATATGCTTAACGAACATAATTGATACCATGATTTAACCATGTCAACATGTCGTTTTATGTTAGGAATGCTGTTAGAATTTGAGAATGACAGGTCAGAGATGTCCAATTTGCAGATCAGGTAGAGAATATTTGTATTTTAGAGATTAAGGAGTTTATTATAATTGCAAAAGCCAATTGAAATATTATAAATATTTTTATTATAAAATGACTGAGTTCAAGGAAGTATACTCATTTTGTATTTAGGATAAATTCTTTAATAAATCTGGAGATTCCGAGGATTCTGCTGACAAGCTGAGAAAGAAAATTCAAAAATCTAAACATTAGGGTGGAATTTCAACGTCTTCTAAGATTAGAGAAATGTTTAAAAAACAATAGTTCAAAGAGATTGTAAATTGGGCTGAGAAGGATACCAGCAACACAATTATCCATGAATATGATGAGATCAAGGTGAATTCACAAACTTTGAAAGTAGGATAAAATGCATTAATTAAAAATGCAAATAATCCATCTGAAGATTATGTAGGAAAAATATAAAGAATAATTACAATTAATGAAAATAAATCATCTAAACTTATTTGTCTATGTGAAGTCAGATGGTATCCACGATAGTCAATAATAGGTTTTATCGTAAAAGTGAAGTCATTAAATTTAGACCTTAGGCTAAGAGTTGGATTTCCAACAGTGAAGTTTTTAGTACTTCTTGTACAGATTATATATTGGCATCAGCCATCTTATCTCCTTGCATCATATACTCTTTAGAAGAATATGAAAGTGCTCAGACTTTGGATAAATGCACATTCTTTACAAGATTGGGATGGATACCAAGCAAAACCAGATTTGAAGGTTATTCAAAATTGTAAAATCATTGTACTTGTAAATAACCATTGAATCCCGATTTGCCATCAATTTAGGTATTCAACCACAAATATTTAGTGTGATAAATGCCAGAAATGGTATCATATGAATTGTGTTGGAGTTACTAAAGCGGACTATGATTAAAAAGAATACATCTGTGGATGTTGTAGATGAAATATCATTAAAAATGGCTTAAATTTAAACATTTCATTTATTCTTTAATCTCCAATATTGAGTCCTATAGATCAAGAATTATATTCTTTTAATTGAATATATTATATTAAATGAGATAATGTTATTATTATGATAATGTTATTGAACTTGAGAAATAAAAAGGATACCAATATTTTGGAATTGTAAGTTGAATTTTCATCTTAAAAAAACAAAGCATAAATCATTTGCACTGTTCAAAAGTATTGAATTATATTCAATTGAATTACTAAATATCCTAATGCTATTGGAATCTCAAAGAACTAAACAGACTTATTATGGATTTTATTCAAACTTAATTAAAGCATATGTATTTTTAAAATAGAGACTCAATTTTTGATAACCATACTGAAACGCTTACTATATGATCTTAACAGAAAAAGGCTACTACTGAAAGTTTCTAAGAATCTTGGCTTTAGATGTTAGTTTATTGATAGAAATGAAGAATACTTTAGGATTTTGATGATAGGAGAATATTTATTTGAAAATATCAATATTATCATTTTAAATACAAATAAAACACTTTTTAATCATAAATAAATTATTTAAGAACAGGTAGAATATTGGAGAATGAAAAGAAATAAGGATATCATTTCAATATTGAATCTCTGATTATTTGTTATAAATAAATATTAAAAATTATCATACGTTTTCTTAACATATTTTAAATTATCCATTATATTCAGTCTAACTTTTAATTAAAAATTTGAGAAAAATTTGATATCCTACTTTATTTGAACATTCTAATATTATTTTTTCATCTCATCTTAACTAAGGGTAGTTAAACTGTGAGTTCATTTTTATCATAATTATTTTATAGAACTATCCACTTCAAAGACTCATTTTAATTATTATATTATTTATAGTTTCATAATCATTAAGTACAAATTATGCAATTTAGAGTATAAATATATAATCAAAATTTTCAAAAGTAATGATACCTTAAATTTGTACTTAGAAGAAGTTTGAATTACTTGAAGTATTAATTAAAAAAACCCATTGTATTAAATAATATTGACTTATTTGATAAATTTTAAATATTTTTTATGATTAGTCTGACTAAATTTTGAACATAAGAATAGTAATGTTTTAAATCGACAATTATTAAGCATTGTTATTTCCTTATATTTTCTTAGAATTGTTTACGTTCATTAAAGGTAACATTAGATTAAGTGAATATTATTATATATAGTAATAAGAAATAATCATATAGAATATTTTGAGAGCTTTAGAAATGTGAATATCATTTCCTTAGAAATTGTTTCTGTTTCAATTACATCATTTTGTTATTGTTTTTTCTTTTCACTTTAGTTGACCAAATTAGTGTTTTTTGGCAATTGCTTTCTTATAGACCATTTTCTTTTTGGATATTTGTAATTTTCAAGATCTGTGCATATTGTTGTTTTATTAAATGACAATTATTCAAACTGGTCATACACAAATGAATAGGAGTTAAACAATAAACTAATTTATTTGCTCATAAATTTATTTGCAAATAATGGCATTGTAGATTTCTTGTTGCTTTTAGAGAGTATCCTATTAATGGTTATGGCTTAGATCTATTGAATAGGATAAAATAATGTATAGGTAAAGATGTACAGAGCCAAACAGATGATAAGAAACAATGCTAACAGGATGAAAAGATGAAGTCCCACTTAAGTTAATAGGTTTTATTAAAGTTCTTCTTGGAAGTGTGAGTAAAACTAGAAATACTCCTTACTACTCAACAACCTAGAGATAGCAAGATATGTTTTACATAATTAATTTCATTGAATATTCAGGAATTTCTTAGATTCCGATTATCATTTCTTATTCATAAAGACTATTATAGAGGCAATTCAAAGAAGATGAATGTTTGCTCAGATATGGACAAGTGGACGTATCATTTTATGATTGCGTGTTCATCCTTACCCAATCACTTTGGTTGAATCCTGTGATAGATTAATTGTAAATGTAGAGGGGCAGTTAATCGACACCTACTTGATACGGGTGCATAATCATGATCCCAGAGGTTGATACAAGATAGAAGACTTAAAATCCAAATTCTTATGATTTAAGAATTTAAACAATTTCTGCTCCCAAAAAATTGGTTCCCACTCCACCAATTAATTCTAGATTTTCGTCGACAATTGGGAGAACCAAAGATAATCCTATTTTTTTGTCTGTAAACACTACAATTACATATTATCAAAATGAATTACGCAAATATGGTTGTGTGAAAGATTTTGAATATTCTTTANTAGTTTCATAATCATTAAGTACAAATTATGCAATTTAGAGTATAAATATATAATCAAAATTTTCAAAAGTAATGATACCTTAAATTTGTACTTAGAAGAAGTTTGAATTACTTGAAGTATTAATTAAAAAAACCCATTGTATTAAATAATATTGACTTATTTGATAAATTTTAAATATTTTTTATGATTAGTCTGACTAAATTTTGAACATAAGAATAGTAATGTTTTAAATCGACAATTATTAAGCATTGTTATTTCCTTATATTTTCTTAGAATTGTTTACGTTCATTAAAGGTAACATTAGATTAAGTGAATATTATTATATATAGTAATAAGAAATAATCATATAGAATATTTTGAGAGCTTTAGAAATGTGAATATCATTTCCTTAGAAATTGTTTCTGTTTCAATTACATCATTTTGTTATTGTTTTTTCTTTTCACTTTAGTTGACCAAATTAGTGTTTTTTGGCAATTGCTTTCTTATAGACCATTTTCTTTTTGGATATTTGTAATTTTCAAGATCTGTGCATATTGTTGTTTTATTAAATGACAATTATTCAAACTGGTCATACACAAATGAATAGGAGTTAAACAATAAACTAATTTATTTGCTCATAAATTTATTTGCAAATAATGGCATTGTAGATTTCTTGTTGCTTTTAGAGAGTATCCTATTAATGGTTATGGCTTAGATCTATTGAATAGGATAAAATAATGTATAGGTAAAGATGTACAGAGCCAAACAGATGATAAGAAACAATGCTAACAGGATGAAAAGATGAAGTCCCACTTAAGTTAATAGGTTTTATTAAAGTTCTTCTTGGAAGTGTGAGTAAAACTAGAAATACTCCTTACTACTCAACAACCTAGAGATAGCAAGATATGTTTTACATAATTAATTTCATTGAATATTCAGGAATTTCTTAGATTCCGATTATCATTTCTTATTCATAAAGACTATTATAGAGGCAATTCAAAGAAGATGAATGTTTGCTCAGATATGGACAAGTGGACGTATCATTTTATGATTGCGTGTTCATCCTTACCCAATCACTTTGGTTGAATCCTGTGATAGATTAATTGTAAATGTAGAGGGGCAGTTAATCGACACCTACTTGATACGGGTGCATAATCATGATCCCAGAGGTTGATACAAGATAGAAGACTTAAAATCCAAATTCTTATGATTTAAGAATTTAAACAATTTCTGCTCCCAAAAAATTGGTTCCCACTCCACCAATTAATTCTAGATTTTCGTCGACAATTGGGAGAACCAAAGATAATCCTATTTTTTTGTCTGTAAACACTACAATTACATATTATCAAAATGAATTACGCAAATATGGTTGTGTGAAAGATTTTGAATATTCTTTATATGGTTTCTACTTATTATAGTTATTTCTGACCTCGATAAACCATTCTCGCTTCTCAGGATCATAAGAGTAGATCCCCTGTCCTCTATTCAGACATGGATAAACAGCATTGGTTTTTTCGCTGATGATGTATGAATACAAGAACGACTAACTCAAGATATTCCCCTGATAGAGAATTTATGCATAGGTTTGAGTCTGCTCCTGAATCTTCATGCCTATAAGCTCATCCAAACTCAAAGGATCTTCAAAGGCTGTGATGTTGGAATAACACATAAAAGAATACGAAATGTCAGAGCTGCCATAGCCTTTAACTATTCTAATCGGATCTGGTATTTAATTTATGCCTCCATACAGCATTTAGTAATCCGCATCAAGTTATAAGGAGTGCAGTTTTACTTACTTTTTGGTCATATGATACAATCGATGAAAGGAAACAAGACTATTTCCATCTAGCTTATGATATTGCATTTACTTAAATAAAAGACTCTTTCGAAGTACCCTTCGTACAATTTAATTGTTTTCTCTTAGATTTTAGAGGAGGTGTCAGCAAAAATTTTATTAGAAATCTCGGAAAAATACTGTTTAAGCAAAGAATAATGGATCAGATTTACTGAAAGAACATAAGAGACTATCACAAGGATAATTATTGAAACCAAAATTATCAATTAGGTCCTCAATTTCAAATTATTCAAACAGGAAGTAAAAAATCCTCGTTGTTTCTCCATTTCACCAATGAAAACAAATTATTTAAATTTTATTAACACAACAAATAAAAATTAGAGACTACTTCTAAAACAGATGATTAAAATTATAACATTTATTATTATATATATATATACATAATAATGACTAAAATTATTGTGTTTAATTTATTGTTATAACCACAAATTTGCTCTTTAGATATTAGAATAATTGTGTATAATAATACTTAAAGATTCAATATAGAAGGAACTTAGTGTTTTGTTATTTGAGAACTCTTTTAATTATAGAAATGGCTGCATCTTCAAATTCCTCACCCCCACTGAAATCTTTTAAACATCTGAATCTTAACTCTTAGAATTGCTTGATTTAATCAATATTTCTCATATATGCAGCCTGAGTTACAGAGTACTGTTTTGTTGGATATTGAATGTCTTCAAACTACTTGCATTCACTTGTTTTTATCAATGATAATGATTCCAATTTATTCATCACAATTTTATAAGTTTGAACCAAAGAAACTATTTCATCACTCATCAAAACCTCTGCAAACTCCGGTATTTGCTATTACTTTCTTCTCTGTTAAATAATTAAATTGATGGCCTATTTTTTTATGATTTCAATTGGATGAAATAATATTTGTGTAACCACAATAATCATAAAACAAAGAACCACAAATGATGCAAACAACCAAATGATGTTGTTGCTGGTTGTTTCATGCAAGCTTATCTCTATTTTGGTTTAGAATTCATCGTAAAATTTTAAGTACTCTGAACTACTCAGCAACCTAATAATGCTCATAAGTGCTTACATTATTAATTTCATCTTGAATTCTGGAATTTCTCGAGTACCTATAATCATTTCTTGCTTATAATAAGAGTTGTATCTACATTTTAGAGGGGAGGACATTTTGGCAAATTTAGGACAAGAGGATTCTGAATTTAAATTTAAGATATATTCCCAATCAGTTACATTGAATCCAGTGATTGTTTCATTATAAATGAAAAGAGGCAGCTATTCCACTGTTACTTTATAGGGATGCATTATCATAACCCCTTTTTCAGATACAAGATAAATAATTTAGAATCCAAAAGAATTAGATTTCATCATTTCAACTATTTCTGAACCTAAGAAGTTCGAGACCACTCCTCCGATTAAGGCTAAGTTTCTATCAACAATTGGAAGTGCCATTGAAAGTCCAATCTTTTTGTCAGTGTATACTATTGTAATTAATTCAGATATCGTTACAGAGATATGGTTGGGTGAATGTGTAATGATACTTGTCATATGGTGATTTGCTTTCATAGTTTCTTTTCAGCTCAGTGTACCAATCTCGTTTTTCAGCCACATATTGATAAATTGCTTTTTCTCTATTCAAACACGGGTAAATGGAATTTAATTTCTCTTTCATAATATACGAGTATATGAATGATTGGTTGATTAAATTTCCCTAATAAAATATTTATGCAGCCGCTTGGAGCTACTCCTCCAATTTAATGCCCACCCTTTCTTCGAGTGTCAAAGGGTTATTAAATGATGAAAGGTTTGAGTAACACATGAAGGAATATGATATGTCATAATTGCCATAGCCCTTGATAATTCTCAACGGGTCTGGAATTTTGGTTGTTCCCCCATATTACATTTGAAACAATGGGTTTATTTCGAGAGGATGTAATAGTACTTGATTCTTGGAAGTATGATATAATCGATGGAATGACACCAAAGCGTTGCCATCTGAAATGTAAAAAAATATTTACTTAAATTAAATACTTCATTAAAATGCTAGAAGTATTCTTCCATCATATTTGACAAAAGGTGATTTGAGTTATCTTGAAACATATAATCTGACAATTCTGACAAATAATTTATGAGTAGAGAATGATGAATTAAATTGAGTGCAAGAACGTAGGACACAATAATTAAGACCTGTATCGAAACTATAATAATTAATTGCGTGCTTAATTTTAATTTGCCTATACATTTTGTAGCAAAATGCCTATTTTATTTCATTTTTTTTAAATTTCTTAATAATATAGCAGATGAATTACCAAAAAAGATTAATTTAGTTAAATTATTGTTACTTTTCTAGTATTTAGATGAGGGTAACAATCATAGTAAAAAAATGTTGTATATTTTAGAAATAGATTTTGCAACATTTTTTTTATATTATTGTGTCATCTATTTTATGATTTTTTTAAACTTTATATATAAGTAAGAAGAGGTTAAAAACAAAAAATATTTTTAATGATTTTAAGAAATGCAAATTTGTAAGTTTATAAAGTTTTCTTGAAAGTGATTTCCAATTGTCTTGATATCCAAACTTGAGAGGATAAATAATTAATTTGAGCCAATTACTTCCTTTGGATTAATTTGTTGTCAAAATATATTAAAATTAGAATAGAAATAGAACAATTTTAATATAATAATATTTTCAGACTTACTTTGGATTTTGTTTGAAAATTCCATAAGTTTTATATAAATCAAACTTAGAGTTTATTTTATAGTTTGTTGTTTGTATTACTGAAATTGATAATTTTATTTCCAATCTCTTTTACTCCAATATACATTAGAAAATATGGTTAGAAATTATTGAATTGAAATTTAATCATAAATGAATTGATAGGAAGGAATCCCAGAAATATCAGTGGAAATGAAAAATGCTGCTAAGTATGGAAGTTAAATCCTCTATCCTAAATGGAGCAAAACCTAATTTATGTTATATCAATCTCTGAATTGATCATTTTTAACTATTTTGTTCGTCCCATATATTCTTATCATTGTTACCAATCTCATGATGCACCTATGAAAGGCATGTTAGGACTTAAATAATCACCACTTAAAATTGAATTCTTATGGCTATAGATTATCATTCTTACACCCTTTATTATTAATTTTAATTTATAATATTTATTTATTAATTTTTAAATCTAACAATAATGTATTATAATACACCCATCACACCCACTAAACCCTCTTAATCCAAATATTAATATCATCCTCCATACAATTTGAATTAATCTCCTTATTACTTTGATCAATATGCAACATATGCATTTTGTAATACTTTTCCTTATTCCACTTAGAAACTCAAAACAATCAACACATAAATCATAATTCAAGAAGCAATGCAGAGGAGCAATAAGACAACCTAAATATGAAGAATGAATAGTTTAGCAGTCCAGCCACCCTCATCAAAGCGAACATCATCAACAATAGAACCATGATTTTTACTAATTACTTATAACTTGATTATGCGATGATCTTTGAAGAACAGCTAAAAATCATTAATAATCATTAAGATTACATCAAAAAACTCTGCTCTCTTAGATTAGAGATACCTAACGTTCAAGTAATTCTAACTACTCTAAAATAATTGAAACACGATATTTTATAATCATAACATACATAGGATAAATAAATATATGAAACCATTATAAAGTCCAAGACTTAATAAATGATTTATCACTCCATATCACTTCAAAAGAATCTAGAGGGTTTACTAAATTTGCAGGAATAACCCAAGAATCCTTGTTTTAAGAATTAGAACAATATAGATAAGGCAATACAAATTAGATTTGAAGATTAAATGGTTCTAATACAACAGGAGATGGCCTAATATGAAGAGTTAGCAGCTAACATGTTGACATCTATCAAGCATTATTAGGCTTAATTCGATTTCTTAAAAGATGAAAAAGTAATAAAATAATAATAAGAATTATGGGATAAGGAGAAGGATACCATTTTAGAATATTTAACTAATAAATTGTCACAATCTATCTTAAATTTAATTCAGGCTCATCAATAGGAAATGTTTAAAATAACATAGGATGAAGTTAACCCCATTGTTCACTCAAAAGGAGGAGTTGTTTACTTTTATGAAACCCTTTCTATTATAGATGGATAAGTATATTCAATCGAATAAATTAAAGTCTAAATTCTAAACTATGAATAGTAAATTGTGTAACTAAAGGTTAATTATCATGAGTTTGAGGAGTTTTATAACAAAATCAAATCTATTCATGCTGAAATTTTTGTCTTATCTAAAAAGGTTAAATAAATCAATTGCACTTAAGTATAACCTTTACTGCAATAGTATTAATTGAGTTAAAGAAAAAAGTGTTCATAAAGAATGGAGAAGCTGTAAGAAGAGATTAAGCAATTATTCTTTTAAGGTTAGCTTATAGAAAAAATTAATATAAAAGTGATTATGAAAAATTTTGAGTCTTTTCATTTTGAAGAGCAAATTTAGACTATAGAATAACAGATTCAAGAATTCGAGAACACTTACACAAGATAATAATTTTAGGTTCCATTTAGTAAAATTAAATAATTGTCACAATTGATTATTAAGTAAGTGTATTATTATATTTCAAAGGTTTGAAGAGGATCATTATAATGCTAATCGGATGTGTTTGGAAATTAAAAGGTTACTGAAGTCTGTGACATTCATCGGATATATATCATATCTAAATGAAGCAATAAATAATAAGTACATAGAAGCTCTGCAACAGATATCTTTAAAGAAAGGGCATTTGCTGAGTTTCAAATTTTGTAATTAAGAGATTCTAAACAAAATTAATAATTTATTAGTGTTTTAATTTCCTCATTTTGATTGGAGCGAACAATTAGATTTAGAAAAAGATCGGATATATCTCATCTAAGAATAGTATATATGGGCTAGGGAAACAGTGATTGAATTAAGTTAAATAAAAGAATTATCAAGCGAGATAAAAATAATGAAATAATTGCTTACTTTAGACAATGAATTGGAAAAAAGTTTGACGATAATTGAAAAGTATCTAGAGTTGAAGGATAAATTAGGAAATGAAAGGATCGATTTAATTAGTTGGCCACAGTAATAATTAGAACTAATCAATGAGTCTAGCCAGTTTTGCAACCATATCATATAGTAAATAAATGATAGAGTTAAGGCTATTTAACAATTAAATGAAATTTAATTACTTCCAAGACTTAATTAGATATTTTCTGATTTTAATTAGTAAAACTAGCACTAACTATTATAAATATCAAAAGAGCTTTAAAGCAAAGAATTTTCATAAATAATTAAACCTTAAATTTAAATCGTTCAATAGTTTATCACTGTTTGCATACAACATTTTGATGATGAGATAGACAAAAAGTTTTGTCAGACCAAGACATATTAAGAATTAGAAGATGAGTTGGGAGGAATTACGAAGTTAAATTAATTAAGACACATCAATGAACAAAATCAAAATAATTAGGAATTACGAAATCTGCTTTATGATCAAGTTATGTCATTTATGAGATAAAAGCTTAAAAGTGACTTTTTAAATTTATTTTAATTGAAAGTAATATAAAGTTAAGGTGGAACCAACAATTATGACCCATACAAATTACAATTGAGAACTGATTTGCTGTATCCCATATAGAGAGCAGACATCAATTCAAATTAATATTGCATTGAGGAAAAAGTGAAGATTGACAACATTATAGATTAGCCAGACTTGAGACAATTATTTTAAGAGTTTCGTTCATTCTTAAATCAATGTACAATTATTATGAGAAATAATAATAATGACATTTACAATGATTCAGAGTTTATTCTATAACTAATTGATGCTTTTGAGAAAGCCTGGGTTCTTAATATCCACCTAACAGATCTTCAGTCCATCAAATCGTTTCATTAAAATCTAAAATAGTGGCCAGAAGTGAAGTAATTTGAATAGTAACTATTACCGTTGGGTATAGTATTGAGGGAGGAATACTCAAGGTATTTAGAGGCATGTCGATAAAAGGTGATGTCTTTGACATCAGGAATAAGTATCATAGTAGATCCAAATTAAGAGAACTTAATTTAAGATATGATAAAATTCAATTATAATGGCAAAGTGTGTTGTCTTCATGAATTATCCTAGAATTATTATTATAGGGATTATTTGTCTTTGGTAGTGGAATCATTGGAAGGTAATTTGAGATTATTAAGCAATCATATTGTATTAATTAATGGAAAATAATTGTAGTATAATGATCAAATTTTATTGTGATTATTATTATTTCAAATATGAATTATAAACATTCTTGCATAAACATTCATGATTTATAAAATTTGATCTGTCCTACTATTTGATGATATCAAAATAGACCTCGTTTAGTTTTATTTCCATTTATATCATGTTTCCAATTTTATCTTACTTAAAAAATAGATTATTTGCATATAATTTCTTATTGAGTTTATAGAAAACTCTTAGGGTAAGTAGAATAAGATTATTCTTAAATTGAATTCTCAGATAGATGACATATGTATTAAATAATGCGTAAAAATAATGCAGAAATGTATTAATGTTAAATCAAATATGTTCAATTTCCATAATTATATTACGCACTTCTCCAAAATCAAGAAGAGTCCTATCATTGTTTTGATTATTAATTTTAATTATGAATCCTCTTCACAAAATATACTTGTAAGCCTTGATTAATCAATCACAACAAGAATCTTCTTAATAAGTGAAGTAGGAAGAGAATAGTTAGAAATAAAATGTGCAAGTATTTGAAATAATCAATATCTGTTTAGTATTTACAAAAACAGTAACTTTTACAGATAATTCAACAATGTTAAACCTAATACCAACCAATTTAGCAAGTATCGTAAGATTTTAATATATTCAAAAAGCAAGCCTCCAACTTTAATTGAGGTTCAAAATTAGGTTACGTCTTACTTTTAGAAAATCATTCTCCAGAAACAAACCATCAATTTATCAAACGTGTTAGAGGTTCAATTACCGTATTTCCTGATAATCATGGGCAATCTCATAATATATGGATTGGAAAATTGTTCAGCAGACAAAGAAATTGTAGCAGATTTGTTGTCGCAGTATAAAGCCAATCCATTAAAGATATCAATGAGTGGTTCTCTGTTCTAAACGATAGCTCTTCTCTTCCGTTCTGAACTCATTAATTATGATCAAAGTTCTAGATTATTATTATAAAAGGTACAAAATATCTTGCCAATTTTTTGCTTTTCAGAGATGACTTTTGCGACATCTTTTTCAACGCCCTCTATTGCTATCAAATATCGTAGGGTCAAACAGTCAGTCAGCAGATTGGATTTACTCAAATACATTAGATCATCAAGAAGTAGCAAGACGATGTCTGGACAACATTCACCTTCAAATTGCTAAGTCAATAACAATAAAAGTTGACTAAGGATCAATTTCTAATGTAATTCAACAGATATACTCAATCTTTAAATAACTTTTTCACTAAAAGCAATTTTATAATGGATTTAGTTGCATAGAGTGTTAAACAAACAGCGAAATTACATAACGATCAGATATTTTAGGAAGTATTCAATTCAATTAACCACTAGTATTTACTTATTATGGGGAGCTTTAAGGCAACGACTTAGGATTTCTTAAAAAAAGCCACATAAGTATTCTTTGAGGAGACAGCCGAATTAGATTTACTTAGATTTAGTTCAAATACAATTAAAGTCCATAAACAAATGAATTGTTAAATTCTATTCATTTTGCCAATGCTCCTTTAATTGGAAAGTCAATATTTAGACCATATCATATAAAATGGATTTACAGAAATGCAAGTCAAGAATAGTTCTAATTACTATTTGAAAATGATTGAAAAGCTTAAAAGCAAATGCGTTTACAATGGGGAAGAGGAATGCAATTGCAAAAAGTGTTAGTGGTATGATGTCACATTAATTTAAATAGCATAAGGAGAAATAGAAATTCAGCAAAAGAATCACAAAAAAAGAAGAGAGAAGCCTTAGAGAAATTAGGTCCTTTATAGGATGAATTTAATAAACTATAAAAAAAGGTAAGAGTATACAACAAACTTAGGTTAAACAATTAGAAACTGAAAATCAATACATGACTTCCTTATTGTTTGATGTGTTCAAACATCCATCTGTTGAAAAAATTGCTTCTTAATTTCTCGAGCCCTTAACCAAAATAATTGCAGATTCAGACCCAATTGATGAATGTTGATGAATTAAATTTTTTAATGTTTATTATATTTGTATAAATTACAATCATTAATATAGTATATCGATTTTAATAGTTATATTATTATATTCACTTATTTTTGCCTTATAATTATTATTATTGCTATTGTCCCTCCTAGGCTTATTGAGCTTACAAGGCCTATTGCTCTTTTAAATAATTCATGTAATTCACACTCTCCAGCAATGGCTTAGGTATTTCACCATTAGCATTGGGAGGGTAGTAATCGTAATATGTGTAAACAGATTCTGATTAAGGTTTAACCTCATCTGCTACATCTTTCTCTCCAAGTTCTTTTTTATGGTTCTATTTCATTTAGACAATATACTTACATTATTTTTAATATAATCAGTCAAACCAAACCCAAACATTTATGATTAGCTTTCATCCATTTAATAGCCATCTACTTCTCCTTAAACTAAGAAATTAGGATCCACAGAAACTTATTAAGTTTGATATTCTTCCACCAATGAAGTTGTTGATTATTGCTGATCTCTCGAAGTAGTTTGATTGTACAGAGATTTAGATTAATGCAGAGAGTGCTGTAAATCAGATGAAACTGATTGTTTTTCTGATTTCTCAGTTCGTGACACTTGCTTCGCATTTTCAATTTTAGATGTTTACTTCTTTGGTTTAGGAGGCTTGGGCATCTCTTCTGGTTTGACTGGCTTATAAAACTGTACTCCATCACAAACGTCAATTACATTTTATCGCTTTTTGGCTTCATTCTCATAATATTGATATCTTTCATCCATATTCATTATGATTTTTTATTAAGGAGCTTCTATTGCGACAACCTGCTATTATTAGACTTCTTAGAAATCCTCTGAGACTTTTCGAGAAATTCGCTCTGTTGATGTTTTCGCCTTTGCAATAGGTTTTTGTTAGGATGCTAAACTTATTACTTTTATAAATACAGCTTCTTTTTTATGCTGGACTTTTGGGTTTGGGTGGTACATACTAATCGATAAATTTAATTCAATACCTTAACTGGTTTTGGTTACCTAGTATTAGCTTATAATTTAACTGCTTAAATGGAAAACTCTGGTAACATTTTTATTATAAATTAATTAATTCTTAATGCAAATATGTGATTATAATTTCATAAAGTCTTCAGGTAATATTTTCTTTACCCTTAATTTCTAAGAGAATGCTATAATATATAATATACTACACTTTGAAATATCAAGACTATGTAATATATTTGCTTTTTAGTATTTTATAATTAATTCTATTATTTAATCAAATTTATATTATCATCTCTTTTCCTTAGTAGAATATTTTTAAACGAAGAATTAAATTTTTGATTTTTGTTTATTATCTCACATAAAATTAATTTTAATATTTGATTTAATGATTAGCAGGCCTCAAAATAAAGTTTATTTATTCTATTTTAAGTCAAATAATTTTTTTACTCTATTTAAAATAATAGATGTAATTAGAGTGTCTCATTTTAAGCAAATAGTAATTAAGCTAAATTAGGAAATTTCGAAGCAATTGTGGCTGTTCTCAGGTATTAACAATTATATTTAATGATTGTTTTTTTTTTGAGTATTAATAAATTGAATTGATTAAGAAAAGGAGTTCAGGCTTAATCTAATAAAAGATCAAAGTCTTAAAGTAAATGAAATATTAGAGATCAAAGTAATTAGAGTCTAACAATCATTCAGATATTAAGAGATTAAAAATAAATTTATAAGAAGGGTAGAGGCTTAATAGAAATTCATGAAATTAGGTACTTAAATAAAATTAGATAATTTGGAATAAAAATAAATTTCTTTAGAAAATTATATCAAATAATATTTTATTGTTATAAACATATTAATAACTAGAGATGATTCAAGAACCATATTTTTAAATTAAAGTGAATATTCAGTATTCGCTGATTTTTATTTCTTAAACACAAAGAGAAAATAAAAAATTCGATTGTAAAACAGTATTAGGGTGAAAGTATTTGTAAAATTTAGGTTTCTCATTGATTATTACGGCAGGATAGAAAGAGATTAAATTATGATTATTTTAATATTATAAATTAAATTATGAAAGTTGATTAAAGAGTATTGTAAAAAATTGAATTTCAAATACTATCATATAATTAACAAGGCCAAAAGAATTGAATTGCAGACAAGTTGATTTATTAGTATGATCAGCTTGATTCTAGAAGCATTATTTTGTTTCTAGAATGAAGTAAAATTGAAGTTTGAATTGATAATAATTCTAAAAAATTATTAATTCATGGAAGACATAAAATAGGTTCCATCCTTTCTAATAAAATTGTACGAAATTCTTGAAGTAATTATAACCCGCTATTCTTGAGTCTGAATAAGCGGTGATATGTTGGAACAAGGAGGGAACAACATTTTAGATCCAAGACCCTGGGTTATTGACGGATCAAATTCTGCCGCAATACTTCAAGCATCGTAATTACCAGAGTTTCTTAAGGTAGGGAATGCGTTAATCGGCTTAGGCAGCTTAATATGTATGGCTTTAAGAAATTGAAAAATAAATAAGGGAAGAATGAGTTCGTACATTAACAATTCAGAAAAGGAGTTAAGTATGAGTGACCTTATTAAACTAAGAAACAACTTGCTCAAGATTAAGCGTCGAAATCAGGAGGACATAAAGCAGAGTTTCGAAACTCTGACCAAGGAATTCTAATCGGAATCATATTTAAGTGAGCATGAGAAAATGAGAAAGCAGTTAATGCAAATGCAGTAAGAGCAGTAGAAAATATTGTATGAAATCAGATTCTAAATGGATCGCAATCATAAGTTGTAAAGAGAGACTCAAGATATCATCGATGTAAGTTACTATGAATTGATATAGAAAATACACCAAATAAAAAACTATTCGGTGGCAAAACTTAATAAACTCATGATTATTATATAGAAGTTGCCTCAAGATGCCCAAATCAGCAAGATGGCTATGTTGAAGGATAAGATCTTACGTAAATTGGAAACGATTGAATAAGACAATTGTCAATTAAAAGATATCTCTTTTGATAAGCAAGAATCAAATAGTTATTATGAGCCAAATTTAACAGGAGTTAGAAGTCCTGCTGGATACTCACCTAAAACTAAATGAAATTATATTTATTGATACAAATACAAATAAAAATAAGAAAAATGAACAAAGGAATTTCTTCGGCATTTTTTTAACTTGATCTTAAAACAGAGAGATTTATGTCCATCTAGCAAGGAACCGTGAATGTTTTCGAGGGGAATAAGAGGATGGTTTGGTTTTGTTTAAGAAATAAAATAATTAACGATTAATGAAATGTTTGAATAATAAAATGAGAGAATGAAATATGTTTAATTTAGATAAAGAATGATGTTGAATAAAGGTGATTGGAAATTTAGAAAGTAAGAATTTTTGTTGAATTATTATTATAAACAATATAATTAAATGTTTTGGTCTAAGCGACCCGAAACTTTCAATGCTCCTCGTCAATTTGTAGGGAATTTTAAATGCGAAAGGAATTTATAAGAATTAGAGGAATTTCCATCGAATTTCATTAAAACATCAAGGTAAGTAATCATGTGAAGTGTAGATATAATGTGGTAACTTTTCTACCGAAATCGTTACTCTTACAATTTACTCGATATGCGAACATCTACTTTTTGTGCATAGCAATTATTTAATGTATTCCAGTGCTTTCAACATTAAACCCTTTCAGTGCAATAGCCCCTCTAGTTTTTGTGTTAGGTTTATCTATGGCTCGTGAAGGTATGAAAAATGACATCAAATTTTAGGGTGGGAAGATTACGGGCGACACGTATCAGACAATGAAGTGAACTCGACGGAATGTATAATCCTGAAATCGAGAGTGCCGACAAAGTAATGAAATTACACAATAGATAGTTCAACTTGGGCGGAATTATCTGTGGGAGATTATGTTATGGTGAAGAAGGACGAGAGTTTTCCTGCTGATCTCATAGTGCTTTCAAGTGCAATTCCAAGTGGGGCTTGTTACATCGAGACATCTTCGTTGGATGGAGAAAAAAATTTAAAACCAAAGAGTGCCATTTTGGAGAGTCAATAGCTCTATCAGGAAATGGAAAATTATAGCGAAGAAGCAATACGTGTGGAAGCATAGGTTCCTACTTAAAATCTATATGAATTGGATGCTTCGTTGTTTTTGCCAATTGGTAATGGTTAGTAGAAAAAGTTTTAGTTAACAGCTAAGTAGTTATTGTTAAGAGGTGCATTCCTCAGAAATACTGAATGGATTATAGGGTTAGTTGTTTATACAGGATAGGATACTAAAATCATGAGGAATGCTGATGCCTCAAGAGTAAAGTCGAGTGAAATCGAAAGAATTATGAACATTCTTATTTTGGGAATTCTGGTGGTGCAAATCACTTTGTCGATCATCACGGCTTCCTTTTCATCGGCTTGGCTCCATAATTATGGGGGTGATAGTTGGTATTTGGAATACACTGACTTTTAACCGAACTTGCTCAGTTTTTATGCGTTTTTCAGTTATATTTTATTATATAATACAATGATTCCTATATCATTGATAGTTAGTTTGGAATTCGTTAAAGTGTTCCAAGCTTACTTTATTGAATAAGACGAGGAGATGTATGTAGCTCAGAGGAACAAATTCGCTAAAGTGTAAACTACAACCATTAATGAAGAGTTAGGACAAGTGGAATATATCTTCTCTGACAAAACTGGCACTTTGACCTGCAATCAAATGGAATTCAAGTATTGTATTATTGGAAACGTACTCTACGGCAAGGAACAATCAAACACAAACAATCCAGTATATAATGTAGATCTAAAAAGACAGCAAACCGCTAAAGTACATCCTGAAAGTGAGGTGTTCCAGCACTCCGTCTTCAATTTCCAAGATGCTGAATTGAGTGCCATTCTCAAAGGCGACGGATCCACAGGTGATATGCCGGTGAACCTTAGAATTGCATCCCAAGATGGTAAATAATAAGTGACTCTTTCTAATCAGCGAGATTTAATACAAGAATACTTCTTCCTACTCTCCTCAGCTCATGAATGCATCATACAATATGATAAAAATTAAAATGCTTCCTATCAAGGTCCATCTCCAGATGAGATCACTCTTGTAGATGCAGCAGCCAGATTAGGATTTCAATTCACAGGGGCTTCAGCAAGTGAGTAGTGTTTCAAGATTTTGGGCAAGGAGAAAAAAGTCAAGTTGCTCAAATCCTTTGAATTTGATTCCACTCGAAAGCGAATGAGTGTCATAATCGATGACAATGGAATCATAAAATTATACATCAAAGGAGCAGACAATATCATCAAAGATAGACTATTGCCTAATTAACCATTTCTGAATGAGATTACTAATTATTTAGATGACTTTAGTAAAATTGGTTTGAGATGTCTACTCATGGCTTCAAGAGTGTTATCTCATCAAGAATACCAAGATTTCGATCATGCCTATAATAATTTACCAGATAATGACACTAGAGCAAGCGAACTAGGTAATTTTGTATTACAAAATAGAAAAACTAACAAGTAACTTGGAAATGTAACTCACTTTGTTGGGAGCGTCTGCAGTTGAAGATAAACTCTAACCTTTAGTCCCAGAGACTATTGCGGACTTATTAAAGGCCAACATAAAGGTGTGGATGTTAACAGGGGATAAACTGGAGACGGCAGAAAATATTGCCAAGAGTTGCAGATTGATTTAAGGAGATTTTACAGTGATGAGATTGTCAGTGCCCTCTGTGGATGAATGTAAAAAGAAATTAGGAGATATCTAAGATACTTATGATCTATGTATTAAAGAGAATAGAAAAAAAGTATTTAAACATCCTATTGTAGTCAATAGTAGTTGAAGGAGCCTCCTTATAGTTTGTAATAGATAACGAAGATTTAGCCTAGGCCTTTGTTAGTATGGCAAAGGATTGTGAAAGCATTGTGTGTTGCAGAGTTACTCCAAAATAGAAAGCTGATGTGGTCAGATTAATTAAAGACAGATTGAACAAGATCACTTTGGCCATTGGGGATGGAGCCAATGATGTCAATATGATTCAGGCTGCACACATAGGAGTTGGTCTTTATGGAAATGAAGGAATGAGGGCAGTTTAAAGTAGTGATTTTGCTTTGGGAGAATTTAGATGTTTATGGAGGCTATTACTAGTACATGGACATTGGAATTACATAAGAATTGCAGAGATGGTGCTGTATTTCTTTTACAAAAACATGATATTCACCGTGCCCCAATTCTTCTTTTCCTACTTCTGTGCCTTCTCAGGGTAGTCTTTCTTTGATGATTGGTACATCACTTTCTATAATCTTATCTTTACAGCACTGCCACTAATTATGAGAGGCACATTTGATTAGGATATCAATTATAGGCAATATTGCTAATACGACTCAAAGGAAGAGGTAGCCAATGTGCAAAAGAAACAGGAATAATACTTAAGACTCAAGTTTCCAAGTCTCTATTACGTTGGACAAAATAAAACTATTTTCACCATCCCCAATTATTTACTCTGGGCTTTCAATGGCTTGGTTCATGGAATGATCATATTTTTCTTTGTACTTTGGATCATGGATTTTGAGATTGTATAAAATTCAGGAGAATCAAGTGGTTTGGCTCCCTTCTCATTGACTGTCTATTCCTGCATCATTTTAGTATACATAATTTATAAATATTATTTTAGATTGCTGATCTTAAAATAGCTATTCACACTAAATTCTGGACTTGGTTTAATTTCATTAGTATTACCCTTCTGTCTATTCTACTTTACATCCTATACGTGATCATTTCGAATTTCTGGCCTGGAACTTTGATGGAATATACTCCATTCACCATGGTTGGCACTCCTCACTTCTGGTTGAGTTTATTGCTAATAGGGGCTATAATAGGAGGACTGGAGGCTATACAGGCAGAATTCATAAGGGAATTCTTTACTGACCCAGCTACAGAGATGTTAAACAAAATTAAAGTCTTTGAACATAATCTCAATAAGTGGGTAGAAAATTAAGAGAAGATTGCAAGACAAGATTCCTTTTGGGCTGGAATTTACAAATAAAAGGAGGCTGTTGAGGAATAAGAGCTGGTGCGATTTAGTGGATCATAACAATGAATAATTCATTCTATATCTACAAAAACATATGTTATTAATTTGTAATTCAATTTTTTTTCAGATTGTAGAACAATCTCAATATTTATAATATGGTTTTAAGCTATTTCTATAAGTTAGTCATCTTAGAACATGAAATACTTCTAAGTGGGTTTCCATTTTTTGTACTCTTCTGAAATTATTTATCAACTAAATTATATCAAAAATCCATGAAAACACTTTAGTGATTTTCAATTAGAGGCTTATATAATTTTATATATAAATGCATAAAAAAAAAATAAAAAGAACTGATCTTTAATCTGCGCCTGAGATTATTAAGACCAGACATAGACCTACAAATCATTTGGAAATTGAAAATCTAGTTATGCAAGATATGCGTAAGAAAATATTGAATGATGAAATGAATACTCTACAGTTTTATGATATAGTTATGCCTGATTAGGATGAGATGATTACTTCGCTTAAAGATTCAACAAAGAAACCGATTAAGCTTCACTAGAAAGTTCATAGAACTGATTTAGAAAAAAAGTTGAGAGCACGTTTGTCAAATGAACCGGGTGCCAAATTATTGTTATAAGAAATGTAAATGACTATGATATTCGAGTTATGAGAAACTTGAAGAGGACCCTGAGAATCACTCGACGACTGTTCGTAAGAAATTGCATCAGGAGGAGCAATTTAAAGCAAATCAACAATATAAAGCAGAAAGTGATGATTAATTGGTAGCCAATTTGGATACTTGGTACAAGGGCGTTAAAAAGAGATAGAAGGAAGAGCAAGATAAATTGAAATAGGAGTAGGAAAAAGAGAGTACCAAATGACTTTAATTGTTAGGACTTGCTAAAATACAATTGTAGGAGAAGTCGCAATCATTGCAATCAATGAGGAGAGGCGGATTGAATGACAGGTCAAAAGCTCTGTAAGGAATGCCAGCCTTTCCGAAATTAATTGTTGAGTCTGCCAAGTCTGAAGGAGAACCCAGTGCTTTTAGATAGAAATTGATGGGATCCTTACAGAAGATCTCAGCCATCAAGAAAATTGAGATGCTCCATCAAGATCAGACTCTAATCAAATAATTGGATAAGTATATGCAGTAGGGTTCCACTTTGACCCAACAAGAATTGGCCCAGATTGAATTAGCAAGAGCCAAACAATAGGGAGAGGATAAGCATGATGGGACTCTGATATTTGATTACACTGTTGAAGGGTTGAAGAATAGTTTACATACCTTAATTAAGATGCAATTAGTTCAATTTTAAAATGCAAGTGATCGAGCATTGTTTTATGAGAAATAAACGAATTAGATTCTATTATCGATTAATTCCAGACTGGAGAGACAAAAGAACACTGTAAAAAAGAATGAGAAAGACCTTGAAACTTTGAGAATGGAGAATCACGACATTCATAAAAAGTTAAGAGCCATATAAGATTTCGTAAACATTTAATTTAATTGTAGATCAAGGAAAGGTAGGAGGAATTGAGGGGAATCAATAAGAAACCTCAACAGGCATCAAATTCTCCAAATATTAAAAATAATGCCAGTTAGGTTGACAATTATATGGTAATTGCTGTGAAGTAGAATGAATTGGAAGGTTAGATTGATTAAATGAAAGACAATTACAGCAAATTTCAGCAATAAATGAAGTTGAATTCAATTTAGATTGAGAAATTAGAATAGGAGAACTCAAAATTGAATAAGAACAATAAAGCATTGTTGAAATCAATTTAAGGATTTTTGTTAGAATTACTTAAAATTGGTTTGGATTGTAGATCCTAAGGACTGTCTTGGATAATCAAGGCAGTTTGGGATTCCGGAGAGAAGATTGCCGAAGCAAGTTTCCCTCCATATTTGGATAGTAAGGCTAGAGATTTCTTAATTATTAAAACCAGAAAGACAATCGAACTGAATGACTTATTTAAAAAGGCTCATTAATTGTTCAGCAATTACAGAGAAGCTTCAATTGACACAGGAAACAATTCAATAGTGTCTCTATTATCCAAAAACCATTTTTCCTAGATTGATTCTCTGGACATAAAGAAATAACATATAGAATAGATTAAATAGAAGTAAGAGTCTTAAGTAACCCTACTTGTACAAGGATTAAGTGAGACTGAACATAAGCTGATTCAATCCACTCTTATCCATATATTTTAAAGCAAAGAGACCTTAAATGATATTATTTACAATGAGGCTTAGAGGAGGATAGCAAAGATGTTTAAATCTGAAGCAAATTAGGAATAATCGATTGTGTTTACGGAGATCAATAACTTTGAGAAGGAGAAATTGATAAAGGAGTACCAACAGATACAGAAGGATATAGAGGTGAAGGAGATGTTATTTAGGAAGTTTGAGGAAGCCGAGTTGTAAAGGTTGGTTAAGGAGATTGATTACAAGAACTATTTGGCGAGGTAATGGTTAAGGAATATCATAGATTTAATGTGGAAGCATTGTAAGTGTTGGCTGCATTGTTTGGATACACGAGGGCTGAAAGAGAGTTAATAAAATATGGTATGTTGCACAAAATGTTTAATAATTGATTAATTAATTTATTGAGATGATTGAGATGTAAACTTTGGGAGTGCGAACTGCACAACCCAAATTTTCTTTGTTGATTGATGACTCCCAAACTTTGACATATCTAGAATTGTTGAAATGCACGGCTCCCTTGGCCCTGATCGATGTCTAGACTCTAAGTGCCAGTCATTATTAATAATTCAAGAATGTCTTTGTGACCTAAAACAAGGCTGTTTCAGTAAGGGATACTATCATAATAGGAACCATAATTCGAGGAAATAGCATCATTGGTTGATTTCATACCAGGAGCAACGACCTCATAGATGATGGTGGCTTTAGGAACAATCTCAAAAAAAAATGCGCTGGGGGGAATCGTTGCTTTGGTGGCATATACAGTGCCTGGAGCAATGATATTAACAATTTTAGGTTACATTTATAGTAAGTACCCTGATCCCAGAGATCTCAACATTCTTGTGTTTCTGGCTATTCAGGGCATCAAATCGAGTACTGTTGCCTTAATCCTACAATTGCTGATATCAATGGCTGCGAAATCTATTAACAATAAGATGCACATTGCGTTATCGGTGTTAAGCGCAGCATTGTTTGTAGCATATCAATAACCGTATGTGTTAATATTAACAATGATGATGGGAGGAATAATAACAATTATGGTTGAATATGATGCAGAAAACACAATTGGAAGAAGAACCTTTGTAAAGGAGTAAACTGCTACTCCCGCAATTGTTAATGACCCAAAATTAATTAATAAAAAAAACAGTCACAAAATCAGTTAATTATTAGGAAATAAATCCTTACACTTATATTCCGTTATACTATTATTATTGTTGTATCTCAATTCTAAATATTAATCACTTATCTTGGACATCACTCTCTCTTTTTACAACATTGGGACATTTATGATTGGAGGCACTCCTATAACTTTGCCTTTTATGTATGCAGAAACGGTTTTAAATCCTTTATATATAAATGCCGATGCATTTTGGTTAGGATTTGGTCTTGCAGCTGCTCTTCCTGGCCCCTATCTGAATTTTGCTATATTTTTAGGCACTCACAGCATGGGAATATATGGAGGCATATGCTGTTGGGTTGCAATATTTGTGCCTTCAATTTTGTAGATTTGGGGTTTGTTGCCTCATTGGAGCAATCTTAGGAAGAATGTTTATTTGTAGAAGTTCAAGGAAGGTGTGATTAGTGTGGCAATAGGGTTTTTGGCAACTGCTGTATATTATGGATGGGTAGATGCTTGTAAGTATGATTTATCGACTGCAACAGTCATATCATTTTTGAGTCTAGTGTATGTCAGTTTGCTGAATTTCAACAGTCCTGCAGTTTTGACATTGGGTGCTGCTTTGTTTATTATTCGTTATCTTGCTTTATGGTATTATAGAGAATTGGATCCTGTGATATTTTGATCATAAAATTATTATTTATTAATATATGGATATGTCATATTGATTTCCAAGTCTTCTCGAACACATCCAATTCATCCAGTTAGATTGTATCAAATAACAACACATCCTCCTTATAGACAACAACCTACTTATTGTTATCCAATTAAACAACATAATATTTAAGTTAATTATTTTTATTCTTGATCTAGCCAACAATGGTGCATTTCTCCAATTGTTTGGCTCCATCTCTGCATCTGATATACACGAGATGCTGATGGAAATCCACAATAGCATTCTTGTTGATCTCAAATTTGCAATCCAAACACAGCACTCTTTGGTTGTTTTCTAGCAATTCCTTAATGGAACTTGCTTGAGTTTGGAGTTCTCTGGCTAATTGGAATTGTTTGCTCATTTAAAATTCTACCTTCCTCACATTTCCATAAGAATTGTATTTTAATTGGAGAATCAACATTTCTAAATAAATAATAGAACATATTAAATACATGATGTAAATTAGTTACTAATTTGACTGATGTTGTCTAATAGATAGAATCGATTGTTTTCATCAATCAAGAGTAGATCATATGAATTATGTTTTTGAAAATGACTCTACAAAATGGAATTGAAATAATCAGTTAAATCTGAGCTTGTTTCATAACTATCATCTGAGAGTGTGACTTTAACAAACCTTACATCTCCATATTGCATCTACTATCTCCTGTATTATTGATGATTAATCAAATCATTTGGAATGAATAAGCTCAGGATCTCCTTTCTTTTCTATTTGCTATGAGTCAACTTGAATAGAACATCCACTAAGTATATTGAGGCATTGTCATCTCGCAAGAATTAGGAATACAATTCTTGGAAATTGCATTGTGCTGGATCCAATTGGAAATACTAAGTCACTAATTATTTAAATTCCACATAATTGAGACTATTGCCAGATTTGAAATCATCAGGATGTGAAAATGCACTGTGTTTGACATTGAATAGCATGCATTAATCCATAAAGAATGAAATTGCTTGATCTTTTGAGATTATATTTTCAGAATTGCAACCATCCCCTTACAATAATATAGAGTACTCCATTTCAGAGATTTGGTAATGTCTTTGTAGATCGTAATCATCCTATAAAATAAGAGTATTCTTGTATATAGTATTCACTTATAAGTATCTCAAATCGATTCTTCCTCTGAACTTTTCATTAACAGAGATATCCAAAATTTGAGATGAATAAGGCAATTCAAAATATAATTCCTCAGATTCCCTCTTCTACTAACCTTGAATAGTAACTACATTAGTGCCATAATAATCAATTTGATGCAAGTGCAATGAGTGAATCAATATGTAAACTGTGTTGACTCTTTACTTAAATACGAATTTGGTACCAGCCTTGGGTAGGAATATTTGAGATTCTTAAATATCATACACCGATCCTTCGTGCTCTTCTGGAATATCAATAATCTAACTTTATTATTGAGTATTCAAGAGTTTTAGTTAATCGATATAGATGGCATCCAAAGGATTAACCTTTTGAATCATCTATTTAATGAGATCATCATATTTCTCAAGAGGCTCGAATTAATTTAATAAATAACAATTGTAACTTGCTATGATTAATTTCTCTGGATTACAAAGTAGTCTTCCATAGATATTTAATCCAACGATAAACTCCTCTTGAGTTGTGAAGGTTGAATAATTAATCTCATTTAAAATTCCTCCAACAATACTTGCGATAACCTTATCAAAACTACCATCGATGAATCCTATTCCAATTATGTAATCAAATACTCTTAACCAAACATCAAAATAAAAGAAGCCACTGAATAGATTACTCAGATGATCCTTAAACCAGCCCATGTCTATTTTTGGATTATTCAATTTTGGCACTAGCATTTAATATCTCAAACATCTTATTATTTTGTAAATTAACTCATCGCAGTTTTCCTTTCCATCAAACAATTAAAACAATCTCACTATCAATAGTAGTTTGTCTTGAGTATTATCAATAACACCACATCCATTCACTATTCTGTAGATTTGATCCTTCCACTAATTTAATCGTTCCATGAAGATATTCGTCCAAACATTATTGTATTTGAATCTGATGCTGCTTATGTATTATTCCACTCTTTCACGATTAATCTGTTGTGTTTCCACATCCATGTATTTGTCAATTTCATTAGATACAATATCTAAAATGTTGAGATTTTCATGCCATTCCAAACCATGATCATCTGCAAAATTCTTGATCTTCTCATTGAACTATAATAAAATAGGTATCAATTCAACTCTTGATTATTTCGTAAATCCTTTTTTACAAGCAACAATTAATCTATCCCTTACGAAACCTTCCGAATTCTAAATTCTATTGTGATATAAATAATAATATAATTATTTGAATCTCCCATCCTTGTTGTCATAACCCTCTTCCGATAAAAACTCTTAGATTTCTATCAAATCATCTTCTGACTATTTGCTATTCGCCCAAATCTACCCTCTTGATTACAAGGCATCCTCTAAAGATTTTACCTTGAATTCCTCCCATTGTTATTGCATACTCTTTCGAGGATCCTTCAATTACCTAATGTAATATTTTAACTCATTAGCTGTTATTGGCAATTCGACAATATCTAAATAAAATGGATTAATCGTGGAATTTGTAATCTTGAATCGAACATCTTCATGGAGATCCATCTAAATCATAGGCTAATTGAACTACTGATCCTATGACAAATTCTATTGCAAATCAGCCGAAACATCCAATCTCGCAAAATGTCTTCTATTACTATTCAAATTCTTCTCAAATTCCAAAATTGATATTCTACCTTGCATAACCTTCTTTGCTGTTGCAATGAATGCTAGATCCTCAGTTGGTTCTTCCTAGGCCTTTGCTAATATTCTCTCGTTGAAATCTTAGTAATCATCAAATATTATAAATTCCAAAATGTCCTGTGTCTTAAAATGAGACAAAGTTATCTCAACATTGCTCGCCTTCCAACCCCTCCCATCTAATTCCAAATATGACAGTTCTGTCCCTTTAACAAATTCTATCTTCCCTTCCTACTCTGACTCCAAAGGCTTGAATTAAACAAACAAAATCGGATTTAATAATCTAATGTGATCACCTACAATCAGTTTAAAATTCGAAAAATGTAAATCTTTATGTTAAAGCTTTAGTAACTCAATTAATCTTTCCTTCTCCTCCTCCTTCCTTTACTACTCCAACAATTCCTACTATTGCTCAAATAATCTCAGGGCCTCTTATTCTTATTTCTCTCTCTCCTACCTTTCTTCCATCATCTACACTGAAATACTTTTCCATTGCGCCAAGATAGATTTCAAATTTTGCTTCTCCAAGTTCTGAAAGAACCTCTCATTTTACCTCAAATGTCTGAGTTTACTCTATCTAATTGACTCTTATTCAAACTATTATTTTTATTTAGCCTGCACATTCAGAAACTGAAATAAATCCTTGTACATTTAGAAGTCATAGGTTCTTATCTCATTGGAGTTGTGCAAAAATGTTTTTTACTTCTATTTTAAATCATTTGACATCTTCGTTGATATCAACTCCAACTTCTTGTTCTAAGCCTCAGTGTATCGCAATAACGTTTGATATTGCCAACGCTTAAACACTTTCTCCATCCCCTTCTTGCTTTTCTCCAAAACACCAGCATTTCGAAATTTCAAAAACTCAATAAATCGATATGCTTAATCCTGAGTATCGAAATATATTGCTGTTGCCTTCTAAAACTAACTCAACTGTGTCCTTTGTTCCCCTCCTTAATGACGATCGTAGAGAATTCGAATAGGTTTATTCTGTTACTCGATCCAAGGAAATAAAAGTCTTTCCTCATTTGGCAGTTAGTCATATTGTTCCTTTATTAGTTAAATGGAAATACTCTAGTGACAACTGTAAAACAAGTAGGATAAGGTATAGGTTTATTATTAAGTTGACCCATCTAATTTTCTTATGTGGTGACTTATCTCAGGTACTTTTTTCCTCTTGGCTTTGCGTATTTCTCTATATCCAACTAAACCTGCCCAAGATTGTACTTCCGAGTATCGGCATTGTGTGTTTGTTGAAAACTCTTCATAAAATTTTGTGACCAAGACATTGTGTATATTTTATTTAATATTTTATTTCAAAATTCCCTCACATTAGTAACAATATTATTAACAAAATGTATATTGTATTGTGCTCAACGAAATTTTCAAGTTTTCGTCTAATTTCAAATGAAAATCAACTGCAAAACCGTTTCGCTTAATTAGATGAAATGAAAAAAGAGTTAATACATATTATAAATTTCTATCTTTAAGTCTCATCTTTTATAATAAAAATATGATGCATAAATAATTCAAGAAAACAAATAGCAAGTTCTAGGAATCTCTTGAAAAATAAGTAAATTTACAAAAAAGATAAGAGATATATTTAGAAAATCAGCTATCTAAAATATTGGAGGGTGACTTTAATGTTAAATTCTGATGGGTAAGCTAAATCTGGTGAACAAAACATTAAATTGATTTAATATCTTGAAGTAATTGGATATTCTACCCTAGAATGATAGGGCTATATCCAAAGGGGAAGAGACCTTATGTTATCCCTTTAAGGAAATATTTTTTGAAATTCTGATTGGAGTGAATTTACCTTCATTGCATATGCTAGCCTAATACAGAATTTAATGTTGTTGAATCTAGGTGAAATTCACTGATTTGCCAATAAATTCCTTTTCAATCAAATTCTTTTATGCGAACTAAGTAAAATTCAATCTTTTTAATGCATGATTGGAATAGATGATACAAACAGAAATAGTCAAGTTTGATTTCTATCAAAATAATTAATAGTTGAAAAATTTGTTGAATATAAGTTAGGTTACATTTTGAAAGATTATAATTTTGATGAATAAATAAGATAGCAACCTTTAATTTTATTTTAGATCTCTGTAATTTAGGGAGGTATTTGTAAAACTGAAATATAGAACAAACCTTAATATAGGAAATTGTCTTTCAAAAATCGCCTCACAATAATTGATACCATTATCTTATATAGATAGACTATTTTAATGATTTAATTTATAAAAGAATAATAACAGAATGACCAATTCATATATAAATCATAATTCAAAAAATCTAAGTTAAAATTGATTTGTAATTCATATATTTATCTATCACAGGTTTTTTAACTTTTTAAAATGAAAATAACAGATAATTTATCAACACATTGTCATTTCAGTTTTAGAATCTAAAATATAACTTAGAGAAATAATGAATTTTCATACATATTCTTGTGAGTTAGAATTATTTTAGGATATTCATAAGCAGAAAGGATCACATCTAAATATTAAAATGATAGTAATTGAATCTAATAATAGAAAATAAGAAATTTACTATAATGATACCCAATTATTTTTGAAAAACAACAAACAAATGTAATATTCATAGTATTACAGGAGGATGAATTCTAAAGACATTTGGATCGACAATGTGAGAAAGCAAATGCTAAAAGAAAGTTTATATGAAGTATGGTAATCAACATTGGTTGTGAGTAATGACTTGAAATTATTCCTGAGACTGTGATGGTTGAATTCTTATGATTTTCAAAATGATAATATTATGAAATCTTAAATCATTTATAATAATAATAATATAGATAAAAATATAATGATGATGTCACCTTAGGGTCTTGCTATTCTATGTCTATTGATTGGGTTGAGTGTATCAATAATAATAACAACGCCATGTGCATCTGTTGCTTTGGCAGATTGTAATGCATCTGGATATTGCACACTAAGCGCTGACTCCTTAAGTTGCCAAAGTGTACCTTGCTATAAAATAAATGAAGTTGGAGCTTGTCGAGATGCAACAGCCATCGCTTATGATGCAACGTTGTGTTCTGGTTTGAGTGAATTGGATTTACGATACGATAATGTTTGTGGTCCTTTGGGATAATTGGATTATGCTTATGTAAGATTACCAATTCAGAAAACAGGATCAGCAACGTATTCAACGACAGGGATGACAGTGGCTTAAATAATGGCAGAAACAGTAGCAGCCACAAGAAATAATTTATTAACATAGTTATTTAGTCTAAATTTGTATGCAGCAAGCAATACATAGTTGAATTCGATATTATCTCTTTATATTGCTTATAAAGATGACATGACAGGAGTGACTGGTTTTGCAATGTCCCACCCTTACTATATGGAGAAAGCCATCTATGCTGCTCTCCAGAATTTTAGAGTATTATATTATGTTATATAACACAGGATGACGCGGATGCAACAAAGGATCAAACAACTACATTAACAAATATATGGACATTGAGTGAAACGTTGTTATTGAGACTGAGAACTTTTCGTAAGTTTTATTCAACTAGTTACTTTTTTGTGAACTTCGCTCATACTCAATTCAGCAGAACATATTTATCAATAAAGGCATAGTACAGTACATTCTCATTGAAATGGAAACAATACAGCAGTAATGGCTATGTGTAATTGATAACATTTGCTCCTAAATAATTCTCTGGGTTCAGTGCAGCACTTAGTGACGCAATAATGTTCAATATTATCGACACTACTGGAACTGCTTACGTTCTTACATACACTTTAACTTGGTTGATCACTGACAATACGAAGATTACTTGTGCAGCAGAAACTACGTCATTTTTGCACGTTATGGATAGAAATACTCTTGTCGAATCGACACCCGCTGTGGATATTCACACTTATTGCAGTGTTAGTGGGACAACGAGAAGATGTGACATTCCCAGCACGGTTATTGATGCATAGACTCCTGCAGGAAAGGCATTTTATATAGCCTGTTCATGATTTTCAGATTTATTTAAAATTTAATTAAATATTTTTGTGAATCCTCTCAAAATGGAAGAAGTTTAAACACGTCTTTAAAAGATTGGACTTGATGAAACAACTATCAAGAACACCCTCAAGGGAAAAAATGCACTCAAATCAATTCTTTAGACCCTTGATTTGGTCGGGGTTAAGGAATGTGACAAGAAAGTATTGATAATTCTTTCACATAGATTGGAAATTTATTATATGAAATGTCCCAGAATCTAACAGAAGCCCTTGACAATAGAAGAGCTCTCTTGGCTACATACATAGTAGAGGGAAAGATTTCCAACAAATTGCAGTTGGAAGGCGGTCTTGAATATTTAAGAACACATACTCATTTGGAATAAGTACCAGCCCAAGACTTTGATAAGGCAGCTGGTGTAGGAATAGTCGTGACTCCAGAATAAATTAAAAACACAGTGGCTGAATTCCTTTAGAATAAGCAGGATTTAAAGACTATCCGATACACCTATAATTTTTCTGAGTACACAAAATAACTAAGAACTCTCCTTCCATTTGCAGAGGGAAAATTATTGACTTAAGAATTAAATCAATAAATTGAAGCTTTACTTGGACCCAAGACTGAGGAAGATTTAAAGGCTGCCAAAACATAAACAAAAAAACCCTAATAATAATAATAATAATTAGAATAATAAGGTGAGGAAGAGGATGATTGCAAATTTGATATCTCAAAATTAGTCGCCAGAGATCTTGCCACCACTGTCAATAGTGAACAATTACTCAATTGGAGAAAATAGAATTTCCCCTATGAAGTATTAACCAGATTCCCACCTGAACCAAATGGTTACTTACACATTGGGCATGCCAAATCCATCAATTTCAATTTTAGATTAGCTCAACACTACAAAGGTGTCACCTATCTAAGATTCGATGACACTAATCCAGAGAAGGAATGCCAAGAATTCATTGACAACATCAAGGAAAACTTAAGATTCCTCGGTTACACTCCATTCAAAACCACTCATGCCTCAGACAACTTTGGTAAACTCTATGACTACGCTGTCTAATTGATCCAAAAAGGCAAAGCCTATTGCTGTTTCTTGAGCAAAGAGGAAGTATACTCTACATTCTAAATTCTTAGTCCTCCAAATTGAGAACCGATCTTAAACCTTCCCCATACAGAGACACACAACCAGCTGAAAACCTTGAAATCTTCAGAAAAATGAAAATGGGTTACTACAAAGAGAATGAAGTTTGCTTGAGAGCCAAGATTGATCCAACTCATCCTAATCCCACTCTTAGAGACCCAGCCATTTTCAGAATCAGATTCACTCCTCATCCTCATTAAGGAGACAAATGGTGCATCTACCCTCTCTATGATTTCACTCATTGCATCTGTGATTCCATCGAGGGTATTACCCATTCTTGTTGCACACTTGAATTCGAAGTCAGAAGAGACCTCTATTATTGGTTCTTAAAGGAATTAGACCTTTACAGACCTTTCGTCTGGGAATTCTCCAGATTGAATGTCTCTAATACAGTATTAAGCAAGAGAAAACTTCACCATTTGGTCTTCAACAACATTGTGGACGGCTGGGATGATCCTAGAATCTTGACCCTCAACGGTCTCAGAAGAAGAGGATACACTGCTGATTCCATTAATAAATTCTGCGATCTCATCAGTGTCACCAGAAAAGGTAATGAGAATTTCATAGGCATGCATGTACTTGAGAGTTGCATCAGAAAAGACTTGGATGTCAAGGCTCCCAGAACTATGGCTATCTTGGAACCAATCTTGGCTATTATTGACAATGTTGCTGAAGACTTCTCTGAAGAATTGGAAGTTGCCATCATTCCAAGAAATCCATAAAAGGGAAATAGAAAGATCCTTTTGACCAAATAAATCTATTTGGATAAGAATGATGTCAGGTATGTAAACTTTAAATATCTAAAAGAACTGAAGATCATGCTGATTTCTGGGGTGTTGCACCTGGTAAAATTATTGGACTCAAGTAATGTGGACCTTTCAAAGTCCTCAGTGTCACTGCCAATGAAGTCCATCTTGAACGACTAGGAAAGGATGTCAAACCTAAAGGATTCTTACATTGGTTGTCTGTTAAAGAAGCCACTCCTTGCGTTGTCAGATTATATGACTACTTGTTTGAAGCCTATGATCCCAATGAACTTGAAGATTATATCAAGGGAATCAATCCAAACTCCAAGATTGTTTGTGCTAACGCCTTAATGCACAAGTATTAGCCCATTTCTATTATTTTAGGGATCTCTTGAATTCTAAACCAGAAGACAAACTCCAATTTGAAAGATTGGGCTATTTCAACTTAGACTTTGATTCCAAGGACGGCAAATTCATTTGGAATAGAACTGTCACTCTGTAGGAGAAGGATAAGATTAAGGCTATTGCATAGGTTGATGGCAAGTAAGTATAAAAAAAGGATGTGCCCTAATAGAAAAAGGATAATGCCAAAAAGGAAGCCAAAAAGGAATGATATATTATTATTCAAGCAAATAAAATTTGTTTAATTAAATTTAAATAAAGCTAAAAAAAGGATTATTTTTATTTTGAAATAATGATGAATGAATCCTTCTATAGAATTTGTTTTTAGACCTTAAGAACGCTATGCGAATTAAAACTGATAACAGAGTAAGAAAAGCTTTATCTCAAGAAGATAGTAGTTCATCAATAATTTGAAATTCCAGAAAATTTAGATATTAACTACCTCTCTCTTTTATTTTTATTCCACATAAAAAAACAAAGGAGATAGTTAGAACTCAAAAATGGCGAACTATTAATCATAGATGAATAGACAGATGAAGAATAGGCATGATCCTCTGCACTACAAATATTTAGTGAATTTTGTTTATGTATTTTTCTTACATTATAAACAATCTATTGAACTCAAAATTGTGTTAACCAAAAAAATTCCGTTTTAATTTATATATTTGTTAAAGAAAATCCCATATTGCGTATTTTCAATTAAATAATGCAATATTAATACGCATTATCTTAATCGTATGTATTAATTTATTATGTTTAAACCTATTTATAAAAAATGACACTTTTGTAATAATTGATAATAAATAATAGAAATTAAATATAAGCATGTTTGAAGGAATAAATAATTATATATGCTTTCAAATTTGTTTAACAATTCTTTCTAATGTATGGGATCCATCAACAATGTTAAATATTTTAGAGTTATTTATTATTTGCATTCAGTTGGATTAAGGATTCTTCAAAATTTAGTTTGCTTCTCTGTAACAATTCCATATTAATTGAATAAAAAAAATTAGCAAGATTTTCTTTGAGGTATTGATGACAACATCTAAAGAAAAAGGGAATGTTTTCCCTTCATCTATAGCGATCAAGCTGCTTTCATAATATTAATCTGAGAAGAGGGAGATATGGAGGGGGAGAGTGAGAGAAGAATTGAAATTAATCTAATATTAGCTTATATTTTATGATATTACATTTTAACAGAGTTCTCGGTCGTAGTGATTGTGTTGTTATAAATTTTAATAAATGAATATGGAATGTTATTTCTTCGAGGAGCTACAGATTTCTGGGAAAATAAAACAATCAGGAATGCAAATTGTAGATATAAAATTGCTTTAGATTTGAAGGGATGAAAAAACTTATTTTTTGCTAAGTAAATTTAGCAATATTAATAATAACATATGAGCAAAGCAAACAAATTTATTAGTACATTATATTAGGTTCTGGAAGTAATTAATAGCATAAATTTAGAGCAATGAGTATTTCAATTATGTTTCTTGGACCAACAACGGGTCATCTTTCACGATTCATAGGTTAGATGAATTTAAAAAAGTTGTAATGAAGGATTGCTTTAACTCTATAAGCATTGAATCATTTTATAGACAAATGTGCTTGTATGGGTTTCGATTGAAGAAGAAGAAAGGGTTGAAGGAATACTCGCATCCCAATTTTATTTCAGGAAGATTGTACTTAAAATAGTTTAAGCAGTTAGTAAAGAGTTAGGTCTAGTGTAAAGGAAGAGGAAGACTTAGGTCGTATCTGATGACTTGATTAAAGTGAGTAATAGTTTAAAGGAGTAATTTCAAAAGCTAAAAGAGCAATAATATTCTTTCTTATATTAATTGAAAGTGCAATATGAAATCCACAAAATTCTATCCAACAAAATAAAATGGCTTCTTTCTGTAAAAATGTTATAACGACATTGTAGCAATTCGAAAATCAATATCCGGAATTTTGGAAGCAATAAATGAGAATCATATTAAAGCTAATAGTTGGATGCAAACCAGTCTATGGGGCAGAAACTTCAGCACCACTTTATGAAATATTAAAGGATGATCTATTGTAACAAGAAGATTTTTATTCTCCAAAATAATGGCCATTTTAGTGAATTTACAACTCTTGATTTTAAAATGTATAAATTTTGTAAATTAAATAATAAAAAATGAATAACCCTGTAAAGAAATAACTATTATGAGATACTTGTAGTGCCTAAGTGATAAGTAAATTAAGACAAACCAATAATCACAATGTGTTTAAGAGTATTTTGAGATTCAGAAAAATTGAGAATTTTCTTAAAATAGGAGAGATAAAAAAGTTAAGTTTATTCCAAACGCTTTTGATATCTATTTTGAAATTGTCAAGGATGAATGGAATAAAAATGAAGAGATTTGAATTACAGCATTGGAGAAACATCAAAAGTAATTAAATTAGATGATATAACCATTGAAATGAAATTGGATAGATCGAATAAACATCGAGTACTCTTATCAAATAATTCAATATACAAACAGGAGTTTTATATTAAATGATATCTAATTGAAATTACAAAACTTAAGCAATATTAGAAAATGATTGGAAGAAATGTTACCAAAAATTTGGATCCTAGAAACAAAGATGAATTTGGTGATCAAATTAGCAAAGAGGATTTAAAGCATTCCTGGATCAAACTTAAGATAAGTCTGTTTAAAGATTGTATAATTAATTAATAGTTCTCAAATTATTAGAATATTATACAATTTAGTTTCCCTTATACTGAGATTATATAATGTATATATTCAAATATATATATATAAATGTAAATAAGTCCGTTAAACAAAAAGATGAACAAATCACTAAATACTTCAAGAGATACCAGATCTTCATTATAAGAAGTTATCACAAGTCATTCTGAACAAATAATTAAGAGTAATCAATTAGAATAAGAATTGCATCGAGTCAATCAATAGAGGAAACTACTCACTATGGAATTGGATGATTGGAGCTATTAATATGTCTAAAAGTCACAAGCTCTTTAAGAATGCGAATTAGAAAATGCTCTTTTAAGGAGATAAATTCAAACTCAAAGTCAATCCGAAGACATTTAAAAATTGCATGTTTTATTATAGTAAATATTTATTAAAAGCAGATAGAAAAACCAAATCATCTTAGAATGGACAAAGAAGTTCGAAAATATTGAGAAGAGATTAGAAAATGAGAACAAATTATAACAACAAGTAAAACAACAATAATATTTAAATGACATAATTAAACAACAACTAACTGAATTAAAGTAGTAGTAAATCATTTTATCCAATAATTACTTGGAATTGAAAGAAGAAAGAAAATAATATTATCTAAAATTTATAGAGGCCAATTCATAAATCCAGAAATTGGAAATAAATAACAATCAATTAGAAATTGAGAAAACTCAACTCTAATCTGATCTCAAACTAGTCAAACAAGATTGTTTGTAATTAACAGAAAAACATAATTAAATATAAAGTATGGAAGAAAAGAAAAACAAATGGAAAACTAGATACCATGATTTGAGTATTCAATTCAAAGACAATCCTATTGAATAATTTAATCAAAAATTGATAGAATAATCCAATCATGAAGTTTAGAATCCTTAACAGGAATTTAACATAGTTGAGAACAATGATAGTGAGGAATTGAACGATATGAAAGATAAGTTATAACAGTTGGAATAAGAGAATCAGTATTTAAGAGAATAGAATATTGACTTACAAAATCAATTCTAAAGTGCTACTGACAAACTCTTAAAATAGCAATTATAAAATTCGATGACTAAAGAATAAAGCCAAACTTTTTCATTTGTTCATTACCATCATGAATATTGTGATTCATTACAAGATTAGCAAATCTAAGATTGATATTATAATATTATGTCATTGACTAAAAGTAGCATATCCATCTTATGTTTACTTGAATCCACTGGTTTTTTAGAATTAAATTCTTTATATCAGATATTGTCGATATCCTTCCACATCAATTGTCTAAGTCTACCCTTAGAATATCCTTAAATTAGCCCCTTTGATTAACAAAGCCTTCAAAATGTCATTCTTCTTATTAAACATATCCTGCTCCTTCTTGACTCCTAATGCCTTCAATGCTATATACAGTGGACATCTGTGTTCGTAGTTCTTTGAACAATGACATCGAATGTCGCATTCTTCTGCATATTAGAGAAAATTATCTAGTATTTAGTACATTCTTTAGTAATGATTATTCAATCCCTTTGAACGAGCCTAACAAACTCGAAGAGTCAACAACTATAGAATTTATTATTAAGCATTTTACACTTGCAGTAGATAAGTATCGTTTTGGCTCAAATTCATAAGTTTATCTGATATCTGTCTTTTAATTTATGAGAAACTCAACCAAATCGTAATCTTCCACTTTCAGTGCATACCAAAGAGCTCTCCCTTGATTTAACATGTGAAATGTAAAATTAAATAAAATTTTATTGTATTTTTCTATTGAATTAACTTAATTATAAAGAAAAATGTTTAAACTTTCCTTCTTAAATATTAAAAGAAAAGGAGAATATAAATATGGAATGGTTATGTTTCAAGGTAATATTAATACTTAGTTTAAAATCTATAATACATTCCTCTATTTTTTATTATATACTTTAATGATTCAAATAAATATTCGTATTGAACTTAAAATAATTATTTTCATTTTATATATGAAATTGTAATTAATTCTTTAATTAGTTTTGATATATTATAAAAATTGATCCTGTTTGTAATCTTTTGGTTTCCATGTCATAAACATATGACTACATAGGATTAATGACAGCTCCTGCCATTGACTATTCAATTTTCATATTACTTATGATTCACTTCTCATTATTATCGGATTTTATATACCAACTTGAATTTATAATTTTATCAATAATTATTAGCATCCAAAATAAAAATTGTATAAAGACCTTAGGTTTTTAAGAAAAATGCTGTGTATTAGAGCTATTTAAGAATGCATGGAATGTTGGAAGTATCCTAGTTAATTATACTAACAAATTGAATCTTGAGATGATGTAAGAAATCAAATAAAATTGATGTTGTACAGCAGCATTGAAAAGTTTTTGATGGCTGTTGATTAGAAGGAATAATAATCTATATATATATATATCTGACTATCATAAATGTATTGAATAAATTGAATATAATGTTCATATTAAAAAATATTAATTCCAAAAATGAGCTTATAGCGCGCAAAAAGAAATGCTACAAAAATAACATATAGTGTGGAGGAAGAAAATGAATCAGATTCTTCCTCCAAGTAGAATAAGAAGAAATTAAAGAAAACCACCAAGGTGACAATCACAGAATGCAAGAAGAAAGTGAAAACTTANAATATCCTTAAATTAGCCCCTTTGATTAACAAAGCCTTCAAAATGTCATTCTTCTTATTAAACATATCCTGCTCCTTCTTGACTCCTAATGCCTTCAATGCTATATACAGTGGACATCTGTGTTCGTAGTTCTTTGAACAATGACATCGAATGTCGCATTCTTCTGCATATTAGAGAAAATTATCTAGTATTTAGTACATTCTTTAGTAATGATTATTCAATCCCTTTGAACGAGCCTAACAAACTCGAAGAGTCAACAACTATAGAATTTATTATTAAGCATTTTACACTTGCAGTAGATAAGTATCGTTTTGGCTCAAATTCATAAGTTTATCTGATATCTGTCTTTTAATTTATGAGAAACTCAACCAAATCGTAATCTTCCACTTTCAGTGCATACCAAAGAGCTCTCCCTTGATTTAACATGTGAAATGTAAAATTAAATAAAATTTTATTGTATTTTTCTATTGAATTAACTTAATTATAAAGAAAAATGTTTAAACTTTCCTTCTTAAATATTAAAAGAAAAGGAGAATATAAATATGGAATGGTTATGTTTCAAGGTAATATTAATACTTAGTTTAAAATCTATAATACATTCCTCTATTTTTTATTATATACTTTAATGATTCAAATAAATATTCGTATTGAACTTAAAATAATTATTTTCATTTTATATATGAAATTGTAATTAATTCTTTAATTAGTTTTGATATATTATAAAAATTGATCCTGTTTGTAATCTTTTGGTTTCCATGTCATAAACATATGACTACATAGGATTAATGACAGCTCCTGCCATTGACTATTCAATTTTCATATTACTTATGATTCACTTCTCATTATTATCGGATTTTATATACCAACTTGAATTTATAATTTTATCAATAATTATTAGCATCCAAAATAAAAATTGTATAAAGACCTTAGGTTTTTAAGAAAAATGCTGTGTATTAGAGCTATTTAAGAATGCATGGAATGTTGGAAGTATCCTAGTTAATTATACTAACAAATTGAATCTTGAGATGATGTAAGAAATCAAATAAAATTGATGTTGTACAGCAGCATTGAAAAGTTTTTGATGGCTGTTGATTAGAAGGAATAATAATCTATATATATATATATCTGACTATCATAAATGTATTGAATAAATTGAATATAATGTTCATATTAAAAAATATTAATTCCAAAAATGAGCTTATAGCGCGCAAAAAGAAATGCTACAAAAATAACATATAGTGTGGAGGAAGAAAATGAATCAGATTCTTCCTCCAAGTAGAATAAGAAGAAATTAAAGAAAACCACCAAGGTGACAATCACAGAATGCAAGAAGAAAGTGAAAACTTAACCATTGCTTCGTTTTAGTCCGATTGCATGGTCGAGATTAATGAATGTTGGAAAATTGCTAGGGTAGATAGACACTGCAGGTATTTTGAACAATGACGAGATTGATTCAACAATGTAATCGAATGATGTTGGATAAATGAATATTTATAAGGAATGGTTTGAGGGAGACTATAAGTACGAATTGGATGAGAAATCTAATTTAATTAAGGTATGAATTGTATTTAGATGATAGCCATTGGAGTTTAAGAGTAATTTGCATTATTTGCATCAATTTGAGAAGCGCATTTAAAATAGATATTACTGGGATAATGAGTAAGTTTGGAAGGATTTGCGTAAATTGTTTGGAAACACGTACATCAGATGTCGAAGTGCGTAGGATTACAACTGTTTAAGTAAAGTCTGGTTGGATGGTAAAGTGAAGATCAAGCCGATAATGGATATATTCAACAGTTAAATCGAAGCCGATGTGAAGAACTTGATGGAAATAGATAAAGAATTCAAGGTGTAAACGACTCGATGGCCAGTGATTCCTGATAAGAAGGATATTAGGTCATATTAGGAAATTTACAATTATGAGCCTAATCCAAATCAAGAACCTTACATAGAGTAGATAAGAGAGAAGCTATCGACATCTAAGAGACCTGTAAGATGTGATAAGGATTGTGTCTGTTTTGATTTGAGTAAAATGGGAGCATTTTCGTATGTCAATATTACTTGGGATTCTGAATGTCCAAATAGAAAAAATAGAGTGGAGTGTCTGGAACATGAAGGAACAGATCAACCATGCATGAACATGTCAATTCAAATGAAATAGCATCAAGTGAATAAGATGAAGCAGGAGGAGAATGCCGATGTGGAAGTAACTATTTATATCATCTAAATAGGAAACACCTTGTTGGGGTATAGATGCTTACACTCGAAAAGTCATCATGAACATACTGCCTTTGAATTACGACGATGCCCAAAAGAACAAATTTATGGAGAAATTGTTATTGGCTATCAATAGACCATCTGATAAGGAGAATGCTTATGATATGAGTTTAGCGTGTGATTACATCATCAAAGAATCTAAATTAATGTCCAGTCATTACAATAAAGATGATAGGAAAATGGCTAAGTAGATTTAAAAGGTCATTAAGTATGATTCAGAGGGATTCAGGATACACACTAAAGGATTTGGATTGGTTTGTGTTAACAAGCAAGGAATCAAGAACAATTCATTGATTATTCCCTATTTAGGGGAAATATATCAGCCTTGGAGATGGTATGAGAAACAGGATTTTATTAAGAAATAAATGAAGGAACATAATCAGAAGGACATACTACCTGATTTCTATAATATTATGTTGGACATTCATAGAGATGACATCAAAGGAATTGATTTCTTGTTTGTGGATCCTATTAACAAAGGAAACTATTCATCTAGATTAAGTCACTCTTGTAATCCTAATTGTGGCACAGTTACTACTGTTAGTAATGGTACCTATGTAATTGGAATGTATGCAATGAGAGAGATTCAATATGGGGAGGAACTCACTTTTGATTATTGTTCATTCACTGAGAGTAAATAAGAATAATTGTAAGCCTTGTGTTTATGTGGAAGTGAGAAATGCAAAATGTAACTTTGATTATTAAATATTAGTTATTACTTACAATTATCTAATTGTAAGGAGTACAATGGTATACTGGATAAAGAACATTGTTTTTTGACAAGGAATGCTATTTTATTGAAATCCTGCAGTGATAATGTAGATAAATCGAACGAGGATTCAGAGTTATACAGTAAATACAGAATTGGATCAAGTGTTTTGAATGATTGTCCACTGTGGTTGAAGAATTGGGTTGGCTATATTTTGAAATTCATTGATCAAGAGTATTATTCATAGTCAATATAATTAGGCGTCAAACGTATAAGAGTGAATTGAATTTGAAGTACGAATAAACAGCTGAAGTGGAATAGTGGAATCATTTCACTGCTACTCAACATTCGGAAGATAGGATTTAGAATCTTATATTCACTCTAGACAAAATTAAGTTCTTTTTAAATAATAGTGACAGCAGTGAACCACCTATCTCAATAATTGGAGATAGCGATTTATTGGATAGTTTTTGGAAAGACTACTCCTCAGGAACTTCAAGTGAATGCTCCTTCTTTAATGAATTGTATCAGCTATTTCAGAAGCACAATCAAAAAAAAATGATTGAATTAATTCATGTGATCTACAAAAAAAAACAATAGTTGCATGATTACAAAGAAAACATACACAATATCCATAGATAGGAACTCCTGATAACCAGAATGCTATTTTTAACTTTGTCGCATATGCTCATGTAACAATAATACACTTTCCATCATGAAGCCTTGTCTTTGATTCTTTATATGATGGCCTATACATACACATACTTCAAACCCTATGAGTACACTGGATTTTCATCGCCTCCAATTGAGGACCTAGAGTGGAGGAAGGTGGGGGCCTTTAAAAAGAAGTGCAAGAGCGAAGGAAGAGCCTATTCTTCTTAATTCGTTTGGGGACAGTTGATAGGATGGTTCAAATAGACTGTGGCAGCACCTTAAGCTTCACTCTCATAAGACAGAAGAGGAACACTATCATATCCAGCCATTTCCTCTTTTGATAAGGCAGGAGACAAGGCTTATCCATTTTAATAATCCAAGGCCCAGAGTAGTCGTTCTTATTTCATCCAGCATTTATTGGATAAGCCAAGCTATATGTGGCCACCTGAAACTGCCAGTTGGAGTTACAAAAACACTTACAAAATCTATGGGACAATCTTATTTGAATAATTTTATTCAACTGAACTAGAAGAGGATTTCTTGGATGAAGTTTTAGCAAGCCATACAAAAGATTATGATTAAAAGTTTTAGCTCTTTGTCAAATACGAATCCAAAAAATTTAAACATTCTCTAGAGCTTTTTGATAAATTCAAAGAGATTTTCAAACCTTACATTGGAGACAATTAGTTAAATTATAAAGATGTCATTGTAGCTCCATTAAGATATAGAAGGTGTAAATTCGAAAATAACTCAAAAAGAGAAGCATACATTGAGAGTTTAAGAGCAGATGGAAAATCAGAAGAGGCTGATCTTATATAGAAATTCCCATTCATAAGTTATGCGATATGATATAGGTATATTATTTTAGTTAATGCTATCATCAAATTATTTATATATATAAATCCCAAACAAATTCTAATGTTATTTCATACATTTCGTCGGAGTTAATATCATTCTTATCCAAACTTTCTCTGAAATCCTAAAGAAATTCATTCAAGTTATTTTTCAAAAATATGGGTTTACTACTTATTCTTCTCACTACAAATTTTGAATTATTTTGAAGATATGAGATGCGAGATCCATGTTGAACCCAAATTACCTCCAATAAATGAATTATATGTATTTTTTGGATCAAATTAAGACAAAAACCATCCAATTATAATACTTATAATATTATTAATATTAAAATAATAATTAAAACTTTGTAAATTTGTAGATATCCCCCAAATAAATTATGATATGATATTATATACTTGTTGATTGATTAAATTTTTTATTCTCCTTCACCTTTATTTTTAAGAAATTTAGAATTCAGATCAAATTAATTGATTTTTTCTCCCTTTGAATGGCTAGGCAATCTTTGGTAAATGTCAAAATCTTCGATACTCCTTCAATAGATAAATGAGTATTGGTTAGTTTTTAAATATTTTATAAAATTAAAACAAACTGGATGTATTAAATTTAGATTTAGCTCAATTACTAGTTTTTCTGGCTCTCACAGAGTAGGTAGCATTTTACTAGCTTTAATTTTACTGGAAGCAAAATAAAATAAAAGCTGTAAATAAAAGTTGGATTAGGAATTAAATTTGTCTAAACTTTCCTTATTACTAATAATTTCAAGAACTAAAATGATTATTTAAATTTTTTTTATATATGGTTTTCTTGAGTTGTTAATTATTTACTAGTAATTATATAATTAGAACACTTTAGAACATTATTTCTCGTTAAAATTAACAAAAACCGATTAGATTTATTATTAAGAAATTGATATTTTAAGCTGTAATTCTAAATTTTTTCTATGTCTATAAAATATTTTTGATAATGATAAAAGATTAGAGTTTTGATACCAATGTTTCTATCAATTCAGATGAGGAAATTAAACAAATTGAAATCCACCCCTTTGACCCTTACATCTAATACTACCATCATAATAATACTTAAATAAATATATAAAACGAAAAAGCTAATTAGCCTGCACCCTCTCCTAAATACAAATTTATGGGAGCTAGCTATAGCAACGACGAATCAACCTAATCACAATCGGTGTAAACCAATTTGGAGATAAGTAAATTGCAAGAACAATGCATCTCCTAATGTACTATAGATGTTCTCAAAAGTGTTGACGCGTATCTAGATATTCGAAGTAAGTTGGACAACTATCACGTTGAAGTTGTTAGTATGTAAGCAATAAAAATGAACATGCTTAAAAACAAAAATGTTGTTCATAATCATCATATACACCAGACGAAAACTCGAAACAATAGAAATACGACTTCTAATGTTAGAAGTCTATCTCCTTAAGGAATACTGAAGAAAAGTTCTTTTGAAGGGCTCTTTAATAAAAATTTATTTAATTTATAGTATAATCAGAATTCGAACAAGAAGGTTTCGTTCGAGTTCACTAAAGAGTAAGTCAGGAGTATGAAGAGAATTAATGTTTCGAATGTCCTTATCAACAAATAGAGCAGAATATTTTTAAATTGAATATTATCATCTATATCATCTATAAGTTATATATACTCCAACAATCATTGAAATTAAGATGGATATTAAGAATTGCTTAATGCCAACCGTTATCTTGCCATCATTCTATTTATCTTTAATGACTTTGAGATCCTCACTCTAAATATATACATACGTAATTATTACAATTTTTTTAATTTGTTCTTCCAAACTCAACGTATCTTTTGATTGTTTTTATTTCTTTTGAGGTTTTACATATTCTGTTTTTATGATAGTTGTTTTAAAATCATTAATTTCTTAAGGAGATATAGAAGATTAGAAGACAGTGGATTACAAGGTCGAAACGTCATCAGTGCAACATTTAATGATTCTTTGATTCAACCTCTGCTGGTTTTTGAAAAATTAAACCACATCCTGCGTATTTATTAATTTATACTTCATTGTTAGATATTGGTCCAGCCAATATCTAAACACGATCCATATTGATAGAGATGGCATTACTCGTTGTTAATTATAAGGTTACACTATTTCCAGCCCTCAAAACTCCTATATTTGGTTTAACACTATAATCATTTTNACACTTTAGAACATTATTTCTCGTTAAAATTAACAAAAACCGATTAGATTTATTATTAAGAAATTGATATTTTAAGCTGTAATTCTAAATTTTTTCTATGTCTATAAAATATTTTTGATAATGATAAAAGATTAGAGTTTTGATACCAATGTTTCTATCAATTCAGATGAGGAAATTAAACAAATTGAAATCCACCCCTTTGACCCTTACATCTAATACTACCATCATAATAATACTTAAATAAATATATAAAACGAAAAAGCTAATTAGCCTGCACCCTCTCCTAAATACAAATTTATGGGAGCTAGCTATAGCAACGACGAATCAACCTAATCACAATCGGTGTAAACCAATTTGGAGATAAGTAAATTGCAAGAACAATGCATCTCCTAATGTACTATAGATGTTCTCAAAAGTGTTGACGCGTATCTAGATATTCGAAGTAAGTTGGACAACTATCACGTTGAAGTTGTTAGTATGTAAGCAATAAAAATGAACATGCTTAAAAACAAAAATGTTGTTCATAATCATCATATACACCAGACGAAAACTCGAAACAATAGAAATACGACTTCTAATGTTAGAAGTCTATCTCCTTAAGGAATACTGAAGAAAAGTTCTTTTGAAGGGCTCTTTAATAAAAATTTATTTAATTTATAGTATAATCAGAATTCGAACAAGAAGGTTTCGTTCGAGTTCACTAAAGAGTAAGTCAGGAGTATGAAGAGAATTAATGTTTCGAATGTCCTTATCAACAAATAGAGCAGAATATTTTTAAATTGAATATTATCATCTATATCATCTATAAGTTATATATACTCCAACAATCATTGAAATTAAGATGGATATTAAGAATTGCTTAATGCCAACCGTTATCTTGCCATCATTCTATTTATCTTTAATGACTTTGAGATCCTCACTCTAAATATATACATACGTAATTATTACAATTTTTTTAATTTGTTCTTCCAAACTCAACGTATCTTTTGATTGTTTTTATTTCTTTTGAGGTTTTACATATTCTGTTTTTATGATAGTTGTTTTAAAATCATTAATTTCTTAAGGAGATATAGAAGATTAGAAGACAGTGGATTACAAGGTCGAAACGTCATCAGTGCAACATTTAATGATTCTTTGATTCAACCTCTGCTGGTTTTTGAAAAATTAAACCACATCCTGCGTATTTATTAATTTATACTTCATTGTTAGATATTGGTCCAGCCAATATCTAAACACGATCCATATTGATAGAGATGGCATTACTCGTTGTTAATTATAAGGTTACACTATTTCCAGCCCTCAAAACTCCTATATTTGGTTTAACACTATAATCATTTTGATTGCTTAATCTAACTTTAAAAGCTACAAAGACTGCTGAAACATTCTGTAACACTATTCTTGCAACATATTAATTGTTTTTTAACTCAAACCTCAGCATTCCATCTGGTTAAATTGACAGTAATTACTCCATATAAATATTAATATAATACTAGTTATTTTAATAAATTCTTCCTTTTAGTTAATTTCAACATTTTTTGGATGGATCATTAAGTTATTTTCACTAAAACTAATTACAAAATATAGATTTCTAAAATTATTTTACAGAATAAAATTGATTTCTTATATTTGTATTCTTATACATAAATTGTTGAACTTAGATATCAAAAGTAATTTATATCTATTATTTTGTAGTTTGTGTTATTATTATTTTAGATTTATACAATCTAAAGTAATTTTATAGATTAAAATAGACATAAGTGAGCATTTATGAAATACAGAACTTAATGACTAGTCAGAGTTTATTTAAATTATCACATCTTGTTAAAATCTTTGGAGGATAAACGATAAAAAATTAATATGAAAAATTGATAAATAAGCAATAGTATTGAACTTGCAAGTACAGATAAATAATGAGTTGATTTACCGAATAGTTAATATAAAATTGCATTAGCGGAGAAAATTTAATTAACTAGTGGATTATTGTAAAATAAATTTCAAATGATCGATAAAAGTTATTAACATAACATTTCCTATGATTCCTAAGTAACATTGCCTCCAAGGAATAAACAATTCTCTCCTGTTATCACACAACTTATGAGGAAGGATAAAGAGATTGAATAAATGCGGGATGAATTATCATAATAGAATTATTTGATTGATGAGTTATCTCAATAAATTCATTTCCTTGAACACTAACTTAGAGATAATGAAGGATTCAAAGAAAAGTATCAATCATTAACAGATGATCAAAATTAACAACAAAAAGATGTTCAAAAATAAAAAGTATCCGTTCAGACAACCACAGCCAAAGAAATTCTGAATGTATTTCTGGAATAAGAGAAACGAGGAGAGGACATTGCGCAATTTTAATGCATTGAGACTGCATAATATTTTAAATCAGAATTATAAGAATCTGTCAATAGAGAACTAGAATATAAGGAAATATTAGACAACTTTATTAAACAGTGCACTCAAATGAATGAATAAATTATTTCTAAGAATTAACAAATACTTTAATTGACTTTAGAAAAACAAGAAGAAATACTCTCCTAACTCATCAAAAAAGAAGATGAATTGTTATTTTACAAAGAAAAAAATAGAGTTTTCTATGAATTATTGTAATGTAATATGGATATCAACAAGTTATATTAAAAACAGCACTAAGGATTGAGATAAGCATTAAAAGGATGTTGGACCATCAATCTGGACTAATCCTAATAAATTGAATAACTGATTAAATTATTGGATTATTCGCATCAAGAATGCAATTCCCTTTCATTCAAACCAATATTAGATCAAATCAAATACCAAAATAATCAAAATTATTCCACTAAAAGGATATCTTAATTAGAACTATTTATAGATCAAGTATGTTAAGTGGAGGGGAATACTGCCTTTGATAAGGTTTAGAATATTATCATTCAATTAGATTAGTATCAATAAATATATTAAAATGTGTAGGATGAAAAGTAGGAAATAATTGAGGAGCTTTAATTTTATAAAAATAAACTAATGGAATAAGACGAAACAATCAAAGAGTTTGAGAAGTTGTTAACTGAGATGGAAGCTAACTTTCATTAATAACTATAAACTCAAACTCTTTAGTTAAATGAAATCAATCAAAAAAATGAATTGATAGCTCATTATTAATTAATCTTAGATGATTACAAGTCATAACTAACCTAAAAATTGGATTAAAAAAAAATTAATGAATAACAAGGCCAAAATTTAAAAGAATAATAGCTGGAAGAAATTCTAAGAATAATTACCATTATTCTCTAGGGTTATAATACATTGACAAATGATTATCAACTCAATATTGATATTAACGGAATCAATGTGAATAAGTATATTATATGAGTATATAGGAAAGTACATATTGATATCAATCCAGTCATCCACAACTATATAAACAAAATACAATAACAAGTGAATAGTTAGTTTATGATCACAGGCAAAAACTATTATGAATTAACCAATCATATTGTAAATTGCCTATAAGTAATGAAGCAACAACTACCTCAACATCATTTGAAGGTAAGAGATTGATTAATAATTTATTTAAGAACTTTATGAACAATGGAAGCATTGAATACATAGAAAAATTTAATCAAATTAGTTATTGCTATTTCGTAAAGCAAGAAAAACTTACTAGTTCTGAAAAGGATCTGTATAGAAAATATTACACTTACATCCCGAGATTGTTGGGTGAACTTATCGAAAACTAGACATAAACTTTTATTAGACTACTTAGAGAGAAAGTTTATAATAGCATTCTATGTGATCCGATTGTTTCAAATAAATCATTTTAATAATGAATATTTATATATATATTTAATAATTAGATTAAATTTATTATATTAAATTTGTATTCACTCCCGATATTAGTTTTCATCTATAGGCAATTGTTTAAGAACTTATTTATTCATCTTTTTAAGAGATTCTAAACATTAGTCTATTTTGTAAGTAACATTGTATGAGCACTATTATATTCATTTGGGTTTTTTACTGAATTTAAATTAATTTAATCATAAAATTATTTATAAAATTTTCCTTTAATTTGAGAGCTTTTATTTATTTGAATAGGTACAGCCAGCTCCTAGTATACATGTTCTTATTTTGGTTTATTTTGATGTAAAATTTAAGTTCAATTAAATAACTAGTGCTTATTGGCGTTATGGTGGAAACTTGTTATAATTTAAATTCTCTAATTTATACAGGTATAATTGATAGATCTTAAGGAGGAAATTCTTTCAAAATTATTATTTATCAGTTCTAAACACTACAGGTTTCGTTATTAATGGTTTTATCCAGCAATAGTTTAGGTGAATACAAGATTATTTTTAAATAAAAATCAGTATAAATATAAAAGCTTTTATGATATATTGAAAGGCTGATTAAATATAAATAAAGAACTTTAGAGTTGAATTAACACCCTTCTTCCATATGAAATATAATTTAAATTTGGAATATGTTTTATGTTATTACTTTAATTGATTCATATTTAAGATCATTTTATGAACAATTTTTAACAAGTTAAAAAATATAAACTTAATTATTCATTTATAATATGTTTAGATATTAGATATAATATTTAAAATATTCATCATTGTCATTTTAATATTTTTTTTATACTTTGCTTTAGGATTAAAAAAAAATTAAACTCTAAATTGGAAAAAGAACCCTAATTTTCTAATTTGATTTCTTAGAATCGTTAAAAATCAGTATTAACACTTTGATTGTGTTTTTATTCTCAGTCTAATTCAAGGAAGTGGAGGACTAATTAATTTATATGAATTCAACGCATTGATATTGGTTAAGGGTTACAATTAAATTGAGATTCGATTCCTAAATGCGGAAGAGGAATGGTAAATTTAGACTTCATTTTACCTTAAAGTAGTGAATAATTAAGATTATTGTTTTTTGGCCTAGGAAATTAAATATAGTTGGAATAAATGTAATATGGACATTAATTTAATGATTAATGATAAATACTTAATAAAGAAGAAAATTTCTTAAGGGTCATTTGGGGTGGTTTACGTGGGGTAAGATGTGTAAACCAATCAGTATGTGGCGATTAAGATTGAAAAGAACAATTAGGGTTCAAGTTTGGAGAAAGAAGTACTAATGTTTAACATCAATAGGCAAAAATTCTATAGCATTTGAATGGGACTCTCAATATACCGAGACTGTTTTATTTTGGAGAGCACAAGAAATAAATGCTAATGGTAATAAGTTTCTTGGGAAAAGATCTCACTTATTATATAAGACAATATAAAAAGTTTTCCCTGAAATGTGTCCTCTTAATTGCAGAATAGATGCTGAATATTCTTGAAAATATACATCTGAAGTAATTTGTAATATGAATTTGAGATCCGTGTTGCATCGAGATATCAAACCTGAGAACATACTTACAGGAAGGGATAATGATTCAAATTTATACTTGGTGGATTTTGGAATCAGCAAATTCTATAGGGATAAGAAAGGCAGGCATATGTATGATAATTTTAGTGTATTCCAAGCAACTTCTCTGAAAACAAACCATTTCTAGGTACATCTCGATACGCGAGTTTGGGAGCACATAAAGGATAAGAACTAAGTAGAAAGGATGATTTAGAATCGTTGGGATATGTTTTAGTCTATCTTTTAAAAGGTTGAGTCTTTTAATTTTTATTTAGGAAGTCTACCTTGGCAAGTTTTAAAATTATAGGATCAATAAAAAATTAAGGCTGTGGGTGATATGAAGGATACAATGACACTTCAAGAATTGTGCAATGGATTGCCTAACGAATTTGAGAGAATGATTGATTATGCACGTAAGTTGGACTTTAAAACAGCACCAGATTATAAATTCTTAAAAAAGATGTTTTAGCACTTAGCTCATTCACAGAATATTTAAGATTAATTAAGATATGATTGGGATTATACTCCATCATCATTGTAAGTGCCAAGTTCAGAAGTTGCAGTTTTGAAACGATCAAAAAGAACTACTGAATAGGAACAATAGGAATAATTGTAAATGCGTAAAAAATAAGCATCATCCAGTACTCTAAATGGCTTAGATGGATTGTCTGGACATAGTTTTTTAAAGACTCCTGAATAGCATTATCAGAAGATCTCATTGGCACCTGCCAAACAAAAGAGCAACTCCAGTTTTAATGACTCTTTTAGCAGTTGTAATTAAAGTGGAAATCAAAGTGTTATTGGCATGCCCAGTTATTAGAATAATTTATCGCAACTCTCTTTTGAAGATCACAATCTTTTGGCCTTGGCATTAGAAAGCATGAGTAAAATCACAAAAGAACAACTAAACTAAGGAGAACATGAAGAAAACAATGGAGATTTAAGTCCTTCACCCTTAGAAGTCAAATATTTAAAACTCAAAAAATAATCGATTAATGTGTAATCACAATTTCTATAATTTTAGTCATTTTAAGAGAACACTTTTATAAATAGAATCAATGAATATACTTCCTCCTTAGTCTTCATTTAATTAATGTTAGTGAATTCAACTTTATTAATTTAACTACAAAATTAATAATAACAATATAAATATTTGAAAAATCTTTCATTATTATTACAAATTTATATGATATATAATTTTACACAAATTTTACCATTCATAGATTAGAAAGTGGATATCTAAATATTGATCTTACTATTAAGTTACTTATATTAAAATCTTAAATATAAGATAATAAATTAGTTGCTTTAATTGATAAACATCACTACTATTCATGTGAAATTTGTATCATAAAATAAACAATGCCTAAACATGGATGATAGTACAATATCTTGTTCAAATTAATTATATATGATAATTAAGTATGATTCTTATATAAAAGTATAAAACTATTAGTATTTATACTCAAAAAACAAACTAAAAACCCTTAAAATAATAATTTTTTTTTATTCAAAATTATATTCAAGAGTTTATCTATATTTTTGTTTCAAAATGAATTCTTCTGATATTAGAATATTCAACAGTGCCTTTTTTGAAATCAAATCCCTAAAAATCTGCTTCATCTAAACTTATTTTAGTGTTATATTTGAGTAATACAATCCAGAACCATATAATTGAGGCAAGGTGTAAATAGTGATTTTTTAAGTGTTCCTTGGGTGACACATCAAGCTAATGAGGAATAATAAAGAAATCTAAAATTTTTAATCTATAATAAAATTTTAGGAATTAGGGCATTTAGACAATTGTTTTAAAATGATGCATATTCATTTAGCATCATCTTTGCATTTAATTACTCAATTTGAAAGAAATGATTATGACATATATTACGTATTAATCAATTAGCACATATAAAACAAAATTTCATTATTATGAGAAGACTCTTTTCAGAATTATTAAGTCTCTTTGACTCATTGCTGCTTGAAATCCAAGGATAATTTTGAAAGGAGCAATGAAAATACAAATTATAAGTTCTCCAATATATATAGGTATGCTCAAAAGCAAGTTAACAATCAAAATTATGCAAATGCTCTCTATTTTCGCTTCTATTTCTTGTATAAGCTTTTCAGTTCTAGTGAGAGCAAGTGCAAATGCCACAATTGGTAAGATAGATAGGAAGAGAATCAATTAGAGAGTGTTCACCACAAGGCATAGGATAGTATTTTTCAATTCCTTTAATTCTTCACAATGTGGGCATTAAAAAGCCTAAGTTCTTTTCGAGGAGAAGAGTTCTAATTGTTTAAAGCATTTAGAGCAAAGTTTTTTATAGCAAATGGCGCAGTTTTCTTGATGAGGACCTCCTTTGTCTATTGTTATAACACATTAGTCAAGGCTTTCTATGGTGTCTCGAGATTCTAAATTCAAAATAATTATATACATGGATTGCTCTTGTTGTCTTTAGGGTAAGTTTGAGATCGCATGTTGAATTTAACCATATAAATGATATTATTGATTTAAAAAGATCTTTAAAGTTTGTGTTATAATCCCAATATTAAACTAAAGATTACTTTTCCTTAATATAAATTTTTTTGAATTAAGGATTTCAATTAATTAATAGCACACTAATACATTTGGAATTAAATCAATTTCTGATTTGAATCGCAAAGATTTAATTCATATCTTAATGATTCAATTAATATGTTTTTATATTTCCAAACTTCAATATAAATAAATTTTTTTTTATAAAATTTATTTTTTAATTAGGTTCCAGAAGTATCTTTTTATAATAATTTTTCCATTTTTTGTATGAATGCCCTAATAGCAATAGTTCTTACATTCGAATATCATCAAAAGGTCAAAAGGGTAGTTTATATGGTAATTGTGGAGGTTAAAATTAAAAGGCTGTTGTTTATGGAAACTAAGCCGATTTGAAGTGAATTGTGGGTTCTAAAGACTTATTTCGCCTTAATTTATGGCTATTAGAGGAACTTCAAGTATTTTACTAGTAACTTCAGGTGGATTTAGGAAAATAAGGCATTGAGGGAAGACTTGAAAAATTCTAAATAATTTTACAAAGTAATGCATATTATTTTGAATTAAAAAATTAAATAAAAAACATAATGAAGTTTAATAATGCTTTTATATATTTAGATGAGAACAACACTTAGCCTAGATTCAATGTTATTTTTGTACAGATCTCTCATTCCACTCCATCCATTCATTCACCAATTTTTTTGTGAATAATAATTATGCTTGTTATTCCTCCTTGTTCAAGGATTCCTTTGTGCCCTCATAAAACTTAGCGTGAGCATCTATTTTTAAGACAAAATCATTGAGTTATCTCTCTTCATTTTTCAAATTATTGTACATGCCTTTATAAAATAGCAATTATTACAATCGATGATTAATTCTCTATCATTATAATTTTTACTGCAAATTTGCAAATATTTATGTTTTAATTCTTATTTTATGGCTTAGACTTATTGTAATCCTTTAAGTTGATTTAGATAGTCTTCTTTTGTTTTAGACATAAATAAAATTAAATTATTTAGTTATATAATTTATAAAATATCATAAAAAAGATGGAAGATGGAGAAATTCCAAATGAGGAAGGTTAAAAGAATGGAATTTTAGAGGAAGGTGAAAGGACTCCAGAATGGGATTAGGAGAGATCACTCTCGAAACATAAGAAAGCAAAGATCAAAAAGTAAAAGAAAAGAAGTAGAAGCAAGGAAAAAGAGAGGGATAAGAAAAATAAGAAAAAGCACAAGAAAGAATCAAATAGAAAAGAAAAGAAGGAAGATAGAAGGACTACAGATTAGCAATAAAAGTCAAAGCAACCCCAGGAAGAATAAAAGCAAGAACAGACCATTCGAGCAGAGTTGCAATAATAGGCGGCTGCTTTTATATAGGAGGATGAAGAAGAGAATATTGAGGATTTGGATATTGAAGACGAAGAGGCAATATTTTTAAGAAGAAGACAGATAAGGGAAGAACTATTTAAATAATTGGAACAAAAATCTTAGGCTTCACCTGAAAAGGACAATGATTAAGAATTTACTTTTGATTAGCCATAATAACAAATTGATGAAAATAAATAGAGCTACTTTCGTATGCTTGACTAATAGAGGAATTGTAATATTTAATTTGATTATTTAGTAAACAACCAATAAGAACAATAATAAGAAACAACAGAATAGGTATAGAAAAAAATAGTTTTAGATATGTTTGATGAATTAGATGACGAATTAGAAAACGATGATTTAAATATGATGGTGAGACACAATGCAAATGCATCATATGAAGCTGATGATGACAAATATTATAGAATTACCATAGGAGAAATGATTAAGGATTACAAGATAATCAATAAGTGCGGTAAAGGTGTATTTGGAAATGTGTGCAAGGCAATTAAAGATGGATAGGAATATGCAATCAAATTCATAAGGGCTGAAGATATATATATTAGATCTGGGGAAAGAGAAAGACAAATCTTAAAGTAACTGAACGAGGCTGACCCAAATAATAAAAAGCATATTCTCAGATTGATTGAAAGTTTTGAACATAGAAAACATCTCTGTTTAGTATTTGAATCACTAGACCTAAATCTTAGAGATGCCCTAAAAGTATACACAAAAGGATAAGGATTAGATTTATCAGCTATTCGATCTTATGCTATGCAGTTATTTGTTGCCTTGGCTCATTTAAGAAGACACAAAATCATACATGCTGATATTAAACCAGATAACATTTTAATATCATCTGATACAAAATTGTTGAAACTATGTGATTTTGGTACTGCCTTCACTGTAGATGAAGTAACAGTAGTAGAGTATCTTGTAAGTAGATATTATCGTGCACCTGAAATTATCATTGGTTATCCTTATGACACTAATATTGATGTATGGGCCACAGCATGCACTTTGTTTGAATTGTTTACAGGATAATTCTTGTTTTCAGGAGATAATAACAATGACATGTTGAAATTGCATCTACAAACTATGGGTAAATTTTCAATGAAAATGTTGAGGCGATCTGCTTTAACCTCGAAATACTTTGATTAGCATCTTAATTTTAAGAGCAGAGAGATCGATCCTATAACTAAATAAGTCATCTTGAAGCCAGTTTTATTAGGGGAAAAACCAACTCGAACTATTGGAACTCTTTTAAAGGCGAAAGAATAAAGTCTAAATGCTGAAGATTAGAAAATGCTTTTGTAATTCAAAGATTTATTATAAAAATGCCTGTAATTAGATCCAAAAAATAGGATTACACCTGAAGAAGCCCTATATCATCCTTTTATTAATATAGCCATGGCAAATACACAAACTAAAAAAGTTTGACACCATTGTTTTCATTTATAAATTATTTAACTTATTTATTTTGAAATATTAAATATAATAATATAGAAATATTTCTGTCTATATGATTTTTTAGATTCATTTTCATTCATTTTTGAATAATTTTTAGCAAATAAATTTATAGCACTCAGTTAAATAGTATTATTTTTCGCAGAAAAAAATATCAATATCATTAATTGTTGATGCTAATATCTATATAATTATAGCATATTCAATAAGATCTCTATTGATTTTAAAAATTTTTAAAGTGCTAGTAATATTTTATGCCTTATTGAAGGAATCAATCTTAAATTTTATGATATCACACTCATTTGAGGAATAACGTTAGAGGGCATAATGGTTAAAAGGAAATATTTGAAGCAAATATTAAAAAATTAACAGTATATCCATCAATTATGTTAATTGCTTAGGAAATCTAATAAGATACCTTTAATATACCTAGTAGTTTGATTTTCTTTTGATTTTTAAATCTAAATAAATTTTAATATTATTAATATTGTTATTTTGTTAAAATGAATGATATTGCTCAAACTGGAAAATCATAAGCCTCTGCTTAAGATATTCATTCAAAAATAGAGAGTCAATTCTTATAACGATATGCGCATTATTTAATTGGGGATGAGTTTGATTCGTTTCTTACTCCATCATTTGTCCATATGTTACATATTCTGGATTCAAAAAAAGTGAGTTGTGAATAGTTGATAAATTACAAGACACAACAAATTAATGTAATTTGCTCTAGTTTTAAAGTAGAATCAAAACACGGAGAGTCAAGTATTTTTTGCATTGAGAAATTTCACTTTTAATTCATTTTCCTTGATGTTTGATCAGAAATTAGAAAATACAAACGTTTATACTAAGGAAGAATATTTTCGATCAATTAGAACCACGTATAATTCAATAATAGAGTAGACAAGACCAAGCCAATCGAAGACATCAATTTGTGCATAATCCGTCTAACTCTTTTAATCAGGACAAGCAGGAATAGCATTAGCACAACTTCTATGAGTTATATTCCAATAAATTAGCTAAGGATCAAGGAGAGATACTTTAAGGAGAAATAGTGATATTTGAGACCAGAATTAAATATCCAGCTAACAAGGCCAAACAACTGTGTTACGAGATCAAACAGAAAATAGACAATCTATTCAGATCAACTGTAAACTAAACATTAATTTGAAGACTAGGTAACATCAGATTATTAGATCAGAATATANTATAAAAATGCCTGTAATTAGATCCAAAAAATAGGATTACACCTGAAGAAGCCCTATATCATCCTTTTATTAATATAGCCATGGCAAATACACAAACTAAAAAAGTTTGACACCATTGTTTTCATTTATAAATTATTTAACTTATTTATTTTGAAATATTAAATATAATAATATAGAAATATTTCTGTCTATATGATTTTTTAGATTCATTTTCATTCATTTTTGAATAATTTTTAGCAAATAAATTTATAGCACTCAGTTAAATAGTATTATTTTTCGCAGAAAAAAATATCAATATCATTAATTGTTGATGCTAATATCTATATAATTATAGCATATTCAATAAGATCTCTATTGATTTTAAAAATTTTTAAAGTGCTAGTAATATTTTATGCCTTATTGAAGGAATCAATCTTAAATTTTATGATATCACACTCATTTGAGGAATAACGTTAGAGGGCATAATGGTTAAAAGGAAATATTTGAAGCAAATATTAAAAAATTAACAGTATATCCATCAATTATGTTAATTGCTTAGGAAATCTAATAAGATACCTTTAATATACCTAGTAGTTTGATTTTCTTTTGATTTTTAAATCTAAATAAATTTTAATATTATTAATATTGTTATTTTGTTAAAATGAATGATATTGCTCAAACTGGAAAATCATAAGCCTCTGCTTAAGATATTCATTCAAAAATAGAGAGTCAATTCTTATAACGATATGCGCATTATTTAATTGGGGATGAGTTTGATTCGTTTCTTACTCCATCATTTGTCCATATGTTACATATTCTGGATTCAAAAAAAGTGAGTTGTGAATAGTTGATAAATTACAAGACACAACAAATTAATGTAATTTGCTCTAGTTTTAAAGTAGAATCAAAACACGGAGAGTCAAGTATTTTTTGCATTGAGAAATTTCACTTTTAATTCATTTTCCTTGATGTTTGATCAGAAATTAGAAAATACAAACGTTTATACTAAGGAAGAATATTTTCGATCAATTAGAACCACGTATAATTCAATAATAGAGTAGACAAGACCAAGCCAATCGAAGACATCAATTTGTGCATAATCCGTCTAACTCTTTTAATCAGGACAAGCAGGAATAGCATTAGCACAACTTCTATGAGTTATATTCCAATAAATTAGCTAAGGATCAAGGAGAGATACTTTAAGGAGAAATAGTGATATTTGAGACCAGAATTAAATATCCAGCTAACAAGGCCAAACAACTGTGTTACGAGATCAAACAGAAAATAGACAATCTATTCAGATCAACTGTAAACTAAACATTAATTTGAAGACTAGGTAACATCAGATTATTAGATCAGAATATATACCATATTTGGAAGAGTACAAATATCCAACAATTGTTTTAATAATAATATACAACGGAGATGTGAATCTAGATTTCTCAAAACTTCTCCAGATGAACCAAATAACCATCAATAGAAAGCAATTCGCCTTGAAAGTTAAAGTGTACTTCATCAGTAAACTCTCCTTATTCAGCCACTTTAGAGAAGTGAACAATCAATAGAAGACTGAATGCATTACAGATAAGGTAAATAGTGATACACATTAAGGTTGTTACATTCTATGACATGAATAGAGTGAGACAGAAGAGACAAAAAGTGCTTAAAGAAATCGAAGTAATCAAGAAATAAGCCTAAGTGGTAACTATACATGATAATTTGATAAGAATCAAAGCAAAAAGAAGAAGGAGTAGTATTGGAAGTTGAGCATTACAACTGGGTTGTGTGTGATTGCTGCAATCTTATTCTTGAGTAAAAAATAAATAAATCTCAAAAAGTTTGTCTAAGTTACTTCCAAAATAGTTTGATTGTTTTTAATATAATTTATATATATATATATTAGTTAGGAGGTATATGCAAAGATACATCTAACAATAGAATTAGCAGTATAAAAAATGAATATTTCTGTAGGGCTTACTTGATACATTAGAGGAGACTAAGTGACATTAAATAAAGGAAGAGTTCTCTTCCAAAATTAGATAAAACGATTGATTCTTACAAATAAAACAGATACATAGCCGCCAGAAAATAAGAAATCAATAGATGGGAAGGGATTATGAAATAAAACAAAAAACTACTACACAAATTAAACAATGTGGAGTCCTCATTTCAAAAATCTGTAATCTTAACTAAAAATATATTTGTATTCAAGGCAATCCATTCGTAGTGTAAGCTCTTGTAACTCTAAAAGATCAATTGAATAAAAAGAGACGAGAAAGAAAGAAAACGCTAGAATGCAAGTTAAATTACAATAAATGTATTCATTGCACAATAATAAAGTACGTCTACATTTGATAAATCCAATTGCAAAACTAGTCCCAGGGTTGCAAAACCTGTGCCAAAATAATCAAATAATTAAGAGAAGAGTTTAAATGTTAAACCAATTAAAAACTATAAATATTAAAATTAGGGGTATTAAAGGCATAAGAGTTTGCAGCAACCTCAAAAAGAAGAATCAAAAATCAAGAACATCATTTAATAATATCAATCAGTTTTGGATTAAATAATTCCACTAATAAAGTAAAATAAAATAAATAAATGACAATTATAGTTTTGATCATATTTCAATATATCATATATTAACTATTTAATTAGTGATTTGTTAATTTATAATAATATTAATGTCACACTAATGGTTGCTCTATATTTGAAGAATTTAACTAACCTATTGTATTTTACAATAATTTAGTCAGTAAGCAATTCTAATTTTATCAGAAAACATATGTAAAATTAAAATAGATTTTACAAAATATATATTTAGTTTGATTATATAAAATCAGTTAATACTACCTTTACATTTTTCGCATTGTTTATTTGATTAAGACTCGTTGAGTTTGGCATTTTCAAGTCTTAAATTATTAATCTCTTATTATAAAATATGTATTTCGTCCTCTTATATTGAATCAAAGGATTAATTCATTTTCTAAATTCATAATCTAATTACCATACTTCATATTTTTATAATTCCTCTCTTAATTGGCTATTTATTTGAGACTATTAGTAATTTAATTAAATGGATATCTTGAGCTTATTTTACAATTCCTCCTTTGTCCCTTCACAATCTACAATATTGAATGGCAATTCATCATTTTTTTTATTCGGTCTAGCCTAGGCTTATTGAGCACTTTGTTGAAGTTGTGATTGCAAATCTAATAGAGAATGAGTGAGTGATTTAGGGGGTGATTTTTATGAAATTTAAGAAAATTGAGTAACGCTGTTATTCAAGAGTTCTTTCGAAACGCATGTAGAGATATAATTAGATTAAGATGTGAGTTAACTAGAAGTTCCAATAGATTGAACTGATTGAATTACAGAAAGGTTGATCTTGTCCACGATTTGCTAAATTAAAAAAAATCTTACCTTATAAATACGCTATCTGATGACATTTAATTCAAGATCTAAAATTTATTGCTGTTGTTCTTCATCTAGATTTTCGCTGTTCTGAAGGGAAAATGAGTCTAAGGATAATCTAGATTGAGAAGTAAGTTCACAGAGATACTGTCCAATCACCTCATTCAGTTTCTGACCAAATTAATCCAGAGTATTATTGAATGGCTCATTCTATTGAGTGTCAATTTAAACACGATCGTTGGTTTCTTCCTTCTTCTTGGGTTAAATTTCCAAATTGTTGTCGCATACTCCTGAGTAATAATCTTTCAATCCCAAAATATTTAAATCATTGAGTTGAATTGAACCTCCTAGATCCTCTTAATCCTTTCGCTGTAATAGGTGTTTATCGACCTTATCTTTAAAAAATATTATACAAACTCATTTTTTAATTTATCTTTATTATGATTGCTAAGACCAGATAATTTCGTTTATGAGTATGATCTTGATATGCCACACATGTCCAAATCATGATCTTAGGAATTCTCAAATCTATTTTTCATAATATTTTATGAATATAAAATATAAAATTATACAATCAATTTTCAATATACAAACAATTCCTTTACAAATTATCTCTCTCCGAGTTCTTGTAACAATCACTAGATCCTTATTGTATGATTTGATAAAAGTGGCAAGTATGCATATTTTAAGAATTAATTATGACGACGCAAATTACATAGTAATTATCAGTATCAAATTACTATTACATCTATATTATATCTAGTCAATGATTAATGGTATTTTAAAATCGAAAAAATCTTAAATAAATCCCCAATTTTTTTATTTTATTTATTATTAGAATAAATAATATAGGATTAGATGATATGTAAAATTAAAAATTATAATTGTTTATAATTATGTCTTAACCCAAGTACTCAAGCATTAATATACATAATACCTATACCTTTCACAAAACAATTAAGGAATTAATTCAAAATAGAATAATAAAATACTAAACATTTTCATTCACATTAATTCATTTAATTTTATAACTCAAATAAATATTTAGGGTCATCTCTTTTTCGATCACTAACACTAATAGAATTGCATTATCTTTAATTATAGAGCAATATTCGAAAGTTCTAAATTATTTTTTGAAAATGATTGTATGTGAAAATATTTCAGAACAAAAATAGTTTTGGAAATTTAAAAGTTTGTTCGATAGACAAAATCATTTTAAATGAGAACTATGTTCTAGTAGATAATGAATCATGTATCTCAAAATAGAATATCTGATGAGGATAAAATGACAATCAGATCTTACTAAAGATATTCTAGTATTTCTAGTGCAAATTTACATTTCAAAAAGTCCATTAAGGAGTTCCTTCTTTGGTAATATTTTAAATATTCAAATAAAAATGACGCTAATATTCGCTTTTTGATTCTAAAATTAATTGCCTTTTAAATTTTAAGCAATAGAGATTAGGAGAGTATAGATCATTTATTTTAATAGATCTTTTTTTATAGCAACTTTAGAGTTGATAAAATTCTTAAAGGTTGACTTAGATAATTACTTATAAGTGTTAGTGCTCTATAATTAGCTAGGTTATTCATTTACCATTGATGAAATAAATTCTCAAAAATTTATAGTCTAATACTCACAAGAACTCAGAATCATTATATACCATTTCTGTTTGATTATTGTCATTTTGAATGAGATCAAAGAGGGAGTTTAGAATAGAATCACATTATTTAATTTCATTCTTTTTGCTAAAATGATCTACAATGTTCTACATAAAAAAAAAGAATATTTAAATGAGTTTAAAATTATTTTATAAAATGTCATTCATTGTTTGATAATTTAATTAGTAATCGTTTATCCACAATCAATACTTTATTATTATAATTGTTCATTTTCTTTTTCTGATTCCGAATCTTCTTGATTACAGCAATCGATACAATTACACAAGAATGTGCACCTTTGTTTTTTCAGATAGCATTCACAATACTTTTTGAGACAACCTGTTTTTTTACAATTACATCCTCCAGTCTATACTTTCTTGATTGATTATGAGCAGATTGTATTATTACATCCTTGACAATTGCAATCGATATTGCAAGCCTTTCCTGCTGCAAAACATTCGCAATAGGATTTCTGACATTTCGATTTCATACATTTACATTTTGTAATAGTATTGAGAATGGGCTTTTCAATTTATTTTATTTTTGTTATTTTTTATTAGATAGGATATGGTCTGATTGGAGAAAAGAATTTGGGATTGTCATCTATATCAAATAGTCTCAATTTAGGTTTTATCAATTCCTTCATTGGCGGTGTTGTAGTTTCACAATCTTCAGCTCTTATAAGATCCAGAACCTAGTCAAGAAATGATTTGCAATTCTCCGTTGTCATAACAAATATTAATCAATTTGGCTCCATTTCCAATATAATTTAACATTCACTGTAAAATAAGTCTGTTTTGCTTAAAAATATAAAATTTTAATATATAAAGTCACACTCATCACATTCTTCAACTTGACTTCACAATCGGTATTTCTAATTAGAGATTCCCTTAACCCCCAGTCCTCAATACTTTTAGGTGGCTATTGTGGTTAAAACCTCATTAGATGTAATTTAAATTTACTAGAATTTTCAGTGTAAAAATGAGAGATCGGTGATTCATTTAGCAAGTAATGATTCCCAAAGATCAAATATTACCTACTCTTCGTGACTATTATATAATTTTGACAGATTTAATGTCTAGCTAAAGATAAAATATTGCTATCAAAGTTATGATCTAATTATTTACTAATTGTCAGAATAAATATAATAAATATTTATTTCAGAATTATATATTTACATTTAATAAAATGAGTTATTAAGATTCGCCTTCTCCACTACAACCTATCTTGAATTTTGATGACGAGGATGAAGCCATGGATCATTTGGTAAAGGAATACTAGAATCAAGGAATCAGTGATCTCTCTATGACTAAATACAAATACTTAGTGTAAAGAGGATTATAAGTGGTAAAGAAATGCAATAATGAAGATTCATCCACCATTGCCGATTTAGAATAACAAGAGCAGACTGAGTAAATTTGTGAGTTCGTAAGAATTACTCTAAGTGGATAAAACATTAGTGGATAAATTAGAGAAGGAACAAAAATGGTAACCTTACAGAGCCAGGCTCTTTAAAAACAATTCTCAACATAGTTTAAGGAATCTGAATGATAAAAGTTCTAGCAAAATATATACAGGCTACGGTCCTTTGGATGAAATTGCATTCCAATTGGGACACAATAAAGCATAAATAAAGCATTAGAATGAGTAACTGTCCTAGCAAATTGAGAAGTATTTGATAAGTAAGAGTCAATCAGTAGGAAGATTACCCAGAATTAAGTGTTATCCATCTAGATTAAATGATGATGGTTAGATATAAAATAAGCATTAGCCAAAAGTAATAGAAGTTATTTAGGATGCTTCGATTCCAAATTACTACTTGAATTGGGTTGAGAAATTCTATGGGAAATGGAGACCTGCTATGAGGGAAGGAGCTACATTAAGTGTAATTTAAAATAAGTTCTATTTGTATGGAGGTATAAGTGCAACTCCATTTAATGATATGAATGTTTGGAACGGAAATGAATGGTCTTAAATTGAGATAATAGATAAGCCTCCTTTTGGAAGGACTAATCACATAGCTGGAGTTTATAGGAGGTCTATATTTTATTTTGGTGGAGAGAAACCTTATGATAATGCATAGAAAATCAGAGAAAGTTTGAATGACTTCAGAGTATTCAATACTGAAACCAACGAGTTCAAAATTGTGAGGACCAGTGGAGAAGGAGTGGAAGTAAGAAGAGGTTAGGCAAGTGCATTTGTGGGGAGGCATTTGTTGATTATGGGAGGCATCAATACCAAAGGGAAGTATTTATCTGATGCTTTTCATTTTGATGTCACAACAGCCAAGTAAGCTCCTGCTAATATTGATACTTGCAATTATTTTCAGAATGGAATAGCTTTTCATACTATAGTTTCTGTATATAATACTAACAGATTAATTCAACTTTATAAATCTAATTTAGATGCTGAAGACTTGAAGGAAATGAAGTAGAAAGTTGAAGGAGTCTATTTGTTTGGTGGAGAAAACAAATAGGGCTAATTGTATTCTGGTTTATATTTGTTAAACACATATCAAAGACCTATGTATTGGACTGAGGTCAAAGGCAAAGGAGTTCCTCCTTGTGCTAGATATAAGCACACTTGCAATTATTTTGACAAGTAATAATTGATTGTCATTTTTGGGGGTATCAATATTGATTCGATATTCCTAAATGATTGTCACATTTTCAAAGTAGATTCCCAAACTTGGTGCACTATTTAAATGGAATATCGGGACGGTCGAGCAGGTCATTGTGCTGCCTAAGATGAGAATAGATTGTTGATCTTTGGAGGCTATAATGAAAATGGTTTTGTTAAAGCTGACATAGTGTGGTTAGAACTAGATTAGAGTGTTCAAATAAAGACGTAAAGAGAGAAATTATCAAATATGGACACTACAAAACATGAAAAGATGAAGGAAAAATAGAAGGTTCAAGATGAATAAGAAAGACTTCTTAAACTTAGAGAATAGATTGAGTTACTGTCATTCAAAGGCATAAAGTCATTCGCTCCAATGCCACTCATTAAACAAAGATCGAAGTCCAGTTTGTGGAAGACTGTTCAATCCAAAAAGTAATAGATGTTGCAATAGAAGATGATAGAGGAAACCTAGCATCTTATGAAGGATTTCAATGGTGAATCAGCATAAAGGAATGAAGAAAAGCAACAAGAATCAACTACTCCTCTTGTCAATCAATTAGATCTTAAAAAAATAGGTAGAAATCTTCGACCAACTAATTGATTTTATTGCTTGTTTTACTATTTAAATTATTAATGATTAAATTATTAATGGTATCATAATAATTTCAAATGACCAGTCACTTAATCAATTAGATCGCAATCAGCAGGTCCTATTGCACAAACAGTTTGGCTTCCAGGTTCAACCTAAGACTCGCGAATTCATTCTTACTTATGTTCTACCTGCATCTGTTACTATATAAGTGATGAGTCCATTCTGTCTTGCTTTTGCTTCAATATTATGCAATTCTTATTGACTCTCGCATTTCACCACTACTTTTGCCTAACCACTTCCTTCCCATTTTTATAACAAATCATGTTTGTCATTTAATAATTATTTATATGCTCCCAATACTACACGTTAGTATAATAACATATACCTGCATGTCCTGTTTATGCTGCTATTTTACCAATTCCCATTTTTAAATCCATTCTCACCACACACACCATTTTATATCTCTTATCAAATTGCTCTCCTGGTGGTTTAATGTTATCAAAATTAATATCAAATGGAATTGCATCAATGTCTGTAAATAATCCAACATTTTATTATTTTATTTGTTACCCTTCTTACAATGCTAATAGCAATTCTACTGCTTATTCTAGACTATCAGCACTTGGTAATACTTGAGCTATCTATTCTTCTGAAAAACTCAAATTCAACAATTCATTCTTTATCAATTATTTAGACTAATCCATTTTATTTAATAAATATTATATAAAAATTATTTATATAAAATAAATTGATGTTAAATGGTAAGAAAGTGAAAATACTTTAAATTGTTCTAAAATAAACTTAATTTTTATGCAGATGATCAACAGGTTTTTTTATTTGAATTATGATAAGAATTATATAATAGATGTTAATTAAATAACAAACCAGTACTTCTACATATTAAATGACTGTTATGCTAATGTTATTTATGAATCTTGGCGATATTCTCTATTCAAATTTATAGAGTGGCAATCAATCATAGTTTCAAGAATTTTCATTATTTTGAGCAATAGTTATGATTCTGTTGTAATCACTTGATTTTAGCGATGTGGTGAGTTTAGATAAGTGTTAAGATTATTAATTAGATGGGTGAAGATCATAGGGAAATTTAGGAATATTGCATATGTTAGATTGAAGATGATGAAAATAAGAGAAATCATGTTCAGATTCATTTGTCCACATTGTTTAGAGGTGAGAATCCTTCAGTAGATTGTTTTTTTTGAAATCGTTCTTGTTTGGTGTATTGGGTTTCGTATTCCTTTATCTTATCAAAGTTGATCTGTATGTGCTTTTAGGCAGGTGTACGAGTGAGTTTAAGAGTAGATTAGGTAGATTGGCAAAGACCCATTTGAGTTTATTATAATTTAATAATGAATGGAAATCCAACAATTACTTCAATTATATAGCAGGAATTAATTTACTGAATCGATTAGTCTTATATTAAGTTATATATTGTGGAAAATTATTATTTGTTTTAATTAATTGCCTCTTAATGATTAAAACATCATTCAAATGGAAATTTTATTTTTTTTTTACTTATTGTTTATTTGAATGAGCATTTTAATCTGAGGAATGGAAATATCTCAGAACTCTGGTTGGTCTTCATAAAAAGAGGAAGTACTACTTTAATTAGATTAAGTATCCAATTTCGCAAACAAGTCCTCTAAATCAATATTGATGTCAAATCCTTAGTTTTGTCCCGTCAAAAATGGGTGTTAACTAGCATCCTAGGCAGACATCCTAGCACTTGGTTCCCATTCAAGACATTTCTACACGAAGTCCAGAAATTAATTGAATGTGGGCTAGTCTATTTGGAATAAGCAAGTCAAAAGTACCTTTGGTAGATTATTAGTTATAATATTACGCTAGATCTGTAAGTTTCTTGATTGGATGAGTTGAATTGTACCCCTCCTTGGTTTAGATTTAAGGAAATTCAGCAGTGAATTGCTCCCTGGATTTTAATTGCAAAGTATCGTTTTAGAGTTAATTAAAGTATTTTGTTAATGCAGAGGCATATTTCATATATCCCTGCGTAGCTAAAGCATTAAATAGGATGTCTTACTTATGATAGGACTAGTCACTTGAATGATTCGTTCCAAACAAGAGTATTGGTCCCAACATGGAAAAAGGGGATTGCCTAATAGCAATTCTACTGCGATGCATCCCAAACTCCAGATATCAATTTTAGCTAGGAATTAATATGGCCATATTGTTTACTTGTGTAATTGCGATTCTCTAAAATTATTTCTGGAGCCCTGTAGAATCTACTTTGAATGTAGATGTAAGGATGTTTCTCATTCAAAAAGCAACTGGATCCAAAGTCAATGATTTACAGATTACAATCATCCAATATGGGTTGTTTTTGTTCAATCATTATGTTCTCTGGTTTCAGATCAGCATGAACAACTCCACATTGTTCAGCCACTGTGAGGCCTGTCACTATTTGATTGAGAAATTTTCGGACTAGCGACACGCTAAATCCTTCATATTTATTTGTTTTCATCACTTCAAGTAAA